TAATTTAAGACAATGTCCTCTTGTTGTGGTAGTTTTTCTTCTTTTAAATATAGTCTCCTCCTTTACCGTGTTGATTCCCTTTATGTATTTAAATGTTTCTATCATATCACCCCTGTCTCGTCTTTCCTCCAAGTTATACATGTTTAGTTCCTTTAACCTTTCCTTGTAAGTTTTATCCTGCAATGAACCTGTTTAGAAGCCCTTCTCTAAACTTTCTCCAAAGAATCAATATCCTTCTAGAGATATGGTCTCCAGTTCTGCATACAATACTCCAAGTGAGGTCTCACCAGTGTTCTGTACAATGGCATGAGCACTTTTTACTGCTAATACCTCTCCCTATACAACCAAACATTCTGCTGGCATTTCCTGCTGCTCTATTACATTGTCTGCCTACCTTTAAGTCATCAGAAATAATCACCCCTAAATCCCTTTCCTGTTGAGGATGTTGAGGTTAGGACTCTATCAAATATTCTGTTCTCTGCCCTTGTGTTTTTACATCCAAGATGCATTATCTTGCACGTATCCACATTAAATGTCAGTTGCCACAACTCTGACCATTTTTCTAGTTTACCTAAATCATTTGCCATTTGGTTAATCCCACCTGGAACATCAACCCTGTTACATATCTTAGTATCATCAGCAAAAAGACATACCTTACCATCAAGACCTTCTGCAATATCACTAATAAAAATATGAAAGAAAATGGGTCCAGGTACAGATCCCTGAGGTACCCCACTGGTGACAAGCCCATGCTTCGAATATACTCCATTGACTACAACCCTCTGTTGCCTGTCACTCAGCCACTGCCTTTGCCTTATTTCACATATAGGCAGAAGAAAGGGAATTGAGGGTAAACCTGGAACAGCATTTCGTGGTGCTGCCGTAAAGACCAATATACATACAATTTACAATTTTAATGTCAATTCTTTACACAGATGCTCATTCACTGGCTGAGACCAGGATCGCATCAGGCCTCTGCAGCTCTGCAGATGGTGGATGTTGTTTAGCAAGCATGAGAGGAGATCATTCCCATAGCGGGACCCAGGTTAGCGGCAAAAAGGTTTGTCCCCTTACTGGGAAACTGCACTAGTGTGCAGTTGTTAAAATGCTTAAAGTAACCCTTTAACAAGGAAGTTTACAATGGAAGTGTCTCTAGTAATTGGCTGTCTGACTGTAAATTATGGCATGTTTTCTGACCAATGTAAATATTGCAATTTTATTAGAAAGGCATCAATGCACCGCATCCACTTGATTTAGTGCTTAGACTGTCCCTTTAAGTACTGAGGAAAATTAAAAAAATAATAATTCTACAGCAGATAAGGCAATACTGGTAATAGTTATCACACAGCAGGAAAAATAACTGTGTGATGACTTCAAAAGCAGTAGAGCCAGGGTCTTGGGAGTCTTCATCTAAGAATACTCCAACATGATAAACAGAAGTTAGATTAAAAAAATAAAATAAAACGGGTAAGCACTGTAATTTGCTGGATTCAAAATTATGTTAGGCTGATAATTAAGATGTACAAAGTATTAATATAATTGGTAGAGTACAATAAATATAAAGATATGTGCTAAAAGTCTTGGAAACATGTTCAAGGAGCGCATACATATTATTTATTACTGGTATTTATATTTGCTATGTGGTATATTTGAGGAGCGTGAAGGAAGACGTATGACATGATCAGTGCTGTACATTCAGGTAACAGATTCTCTGTTTGGCCAAATGCCAACACAAACTGTGGTTCGGGTATTAGTGAGATGCTAAGAAGACTTAGTGTCACTTTAAAGTCAATCAGGGATTCACTAAACATCTAAGAATAGTAACGCTGAGCAAGCTTTGCTTTACCTGGCACAGAACAAACATTAACAGACTGTACACAGCGATAATTGTACTGTCCGGTCTGGGCGATAGTGTATTAGTATGTAACCAATACTCACCACTGTGAATTGTCTGGGTATTATTACGTAATATTTATTTTGGGCACTATGTACCTGTCTGATAGTGTCGTCTGTTTTGCAAGTGTGATAATTCCTTCTAAGGCCAGTATTTAGAAGAGATTTTACAATGTATTTATTATCCAGACACCTGAGAAACAGTTTTGTGTTATTATAGGGATTTATATATAATTTTAAACAAGCAAGCGAGGAGCATGGGCATCCACAGGGGGGAGGGGAGAGGGAAGAGGGGAGAGGGGGGGGAATTGGTAGGGGGGGAGGGGGGGCAAATGGGGACACTTGCCCCCCCCCCGGATTTTTCAGCTTGTGCTGCTATTTTTCGTTTGTGTGATAATAAACTGCAATACCCGCGTCTGCCAGTAGGTGGAGCTGTGAATGGAGAATGGCAGGGATAGGAAGCTACAGCTTATCCCTGCTTCTTTCTCCTGCAGGGGTGCAGCACAGAGTGTAGCCTACAGATAAGGTAAGTGAGGGATGGGGGGGAGACAGCCTACAGGAAGGTAAAGTAGAAGGAGCAAAAAGGTTCTGCAAGGGGCAGGAGGGATCAGCAAGGAATAGGAAGAGTGGAAGGGGCAGCAAGAAGCAGGAAAGGTCAGCAAGGAGCAGGAGGGGTCAGCAAGGAGCAACAAGGAGCAGGAGCGGTCTGCAAGGAGTAGGGAGGATCTACAAGGGGCAGGAGGGGTCAGCAAGGAGTAGGAAGAGGCAGCAAGGAGTAGGAAGGGTCTGCAAGGAGCAGAAAGGGTCTGCAAGGGGCAGGAGTGGTCAGCAAGGAGTAGGAAGGGTCAGCAAGGAGCAGGAAGGGTCAGCAAGAAGCAGGAAGGGTTAACAAGGAGCAGGAGGGGTCAGCAAGAAGCAGAAAGGGTCAGCAGTGAGCAGGAGGGGTCAGCAAGGAGTAGGAAGGGTCTGCAAGGGGCAGAAGGGGTCAGCAAGGAGTAGGAAGGAGCAGAAAGGGTCTACAAGGAGTAGGAAGCGTCCGCAAGGAGCAGGAGGGGTCTGCAAGGAGCAGGAAGGGTCAGCACGAAGCAGGAAGGGTCAGCAAGGAGCAGGAGGGGTCAGCAAGGAGTAGGAAGAGTCTGCAAGGGGCAGGAGGGTTCAGCAAGGAGTAGGAAGAGGCAGCAATGAGCAGAAAGGGTCTGCAAGGAGCAGTAAGGGTCAGCAAGGAGCAGGAAGGGTCAGCAAGGAGCAGAAAGGAATCAGAAAGAGAAAGGAGCTGAAGGGCGCAAAATAAGCAGAAAGTAGCAGAAAGGTAAAGGAGCAGAAGGAGCCAAGGAGGAGAGAAGACAGTGTCAGAAGAAAAAGAATACTGTGTCAAATGGAGAAGAAAATGAGATTGGAGCAGGAAGGACAAGTGAAGTGATCCCTCCACTTCATTCTGGACACCACATCATAAGGCTTTGGTACCTGGGCCTGGCAGGAAACTTTGGACCTTTTCATCTCCCCAGGTAAAAAACAGATCAGTGTTAATGTGTTCACTTTGATTTACTGAGTGTCAGAAAACCCAGAGGGCTGCTAGGTAGGGGTGCCGCTGATTGGCTACAACATTCAGCTGGCACTCTAAGCCAATCAGGCTCCCCATTCATAAAAATTTAAAAAAATTTATGAATCGGGAACTAGTGATTGGCTTAGAGTGTCAGTTGACCACTCTTGCCAATCAGCGGCACCCATGCCCGACGTCAATCTGCACTTCCTGACACTCCATTTCAGAAGCCAAATACCACTGAGCAACCTGGAGATCTGGAGCTGGAGGAAGCCTTTTAGGGTCAAACCATTTGAGAGCGGTTTAACCCCTTAAAGGAAAGAGAGCACCCAGGGGCCTCCTGGTATCATAGCATTTTAATTTAGATGAAGTTGTTATGGTGACCAGAATGTTCCTTTAATTTGCTTAAAGGAACACTATAGTGTCAGGAATACAAACATGTATTCCTGACACCATAGTTGTGAAAACGCTATTCTCCCTGGCTTTATGTGATAATGACTATGCTCCTCCCCTTCATGACACTGTCAAAAAGGGGCCAAGCATGGATTACAATTAGGCCCCCCCTCTCCTCCCCCCCCGGAAAAATTCCTGTGGACGCCCATCGCTATGAGATGAAGAATCCCTGTTATATCTTAATTCCGATACACTGTGAAATAAAAGCGCACAATTATGGCTGTATTTTGTCAGCCAATAATGGGTATTATTCTGGGGCAAAGTGCTAAATAAGAAGTAATCCCCATGGAATCCAATAGAATGTCTCTCAACATTTGGCTATTTGCACCCAAAATAGAATCTGTTTTTTATTGATAACTCTCCATTAATATATTTAAATTATGATAGTCGATCAGATCTCATTATCACAACCAGTCTGCTAATCATTTTATGTATACCTTATTTTTCCAGAATGTAGCCATATGTACACCAAAAACATTTTTGCATTTTCTTCCTGGGTTGTCCAAATGATTTGGGAACATATGAGTTTTATTTATTTAATTCATTCCCACCAATGTGTTATAACTCATTTTTGTTTAGAAATTATTTATCTAAGTCACACTGCAATAACATATTGATCCCAAAGATAAGCAGGGTTAGGAAGGCTCACTCATAATATGTATATGTATTCCTTTGACAGCAATACTATATATATATAAACTCTCATGTGGTCATCAGCTGTCCTGTAGAAGAAACCAATTAAAGAGAAAGGCAGCACCACCTGGTGGACTAAAATGTGTACTAACAGCTTTGCTCTACTTAATTTCTGTGGATATATATGTCCTCAAACAGACAGCGCATACATTATGTTCCTGTCTGCTAAAGATTAGAGCTAGCGCTAATCTATTACATTCCATCAGATATCACACCTCAGATTTCACATTTCTGACAGCATAACAGAAGAAAGAAGAGGGGGTAATAGGTTACAACTATTAAAACAGAAGGGAATCTGCTGAATTCAGGAACTTACATTAGAACTGTTAGGCATAAACCATGGTTTTAATTTATCTTGTTTTTTTATACAAAAATAATTGTGTTCTTTATTTCCATTTAGGTTAATGCTCAGGTGATCAGAGTCTCTGAATCCTCAGGCCCTTCTGGTTCTTATATTCTATGCAATATCACGTAAGTTAAATCATTAAATGTTTATTTTTGATATAAGTATATTCTTAGTGGATCTGTTCATGTGATTATAGAAAAGGTACCTAGACTGATGTTAAATAAAATGTTACATTTATATGGATATTAATTCATTTAATTAAGAATATTGAGATGTTTTAATAATATAGAGTTGTTTTTGCAGTATGAGAAAAATATATTGAGATATAGAAAGTAACAGGGGAATGTAAACTAAAACCAAGAGAGAGCAAAAACACGTAGAAGAGTTCCTAAGCAAAGGTCCTTACAAACTTGTGTGGTCTGTGGGTCGTTAAGTGGATAACAAGACCTCCTGTGGCATCTTTAGTGTAGGTTTCCGTGGGATATCCAGGAACTATGACCACCTGTGCCTGAAATATATTGGGGGTCAGTGCTTTGCGCCGGTCCCATCCGTTTGGGCCCCGTTTGGGTCGGTGGATGCAGGGCCAGATTAACATAGGGGCTGATGGAGGTGCAGCCCCAGGCCCATGGAATAGGCCCATTGATTTAAAAATAAATAAATAAATAATAATAATAATAAAAAAATAAATAAATATTATATTATTATTCTTTTTTTTTTTTAACACTACTCCACATACTTTTGCTTAAGTATGGAAACTCAAGAGGGATGTATTAGAACAAAACTTGTGTGGACTGGCTGACAATGAAATTAGTTAAGGAAATGCTGACTTTGGTCTCTCTAACACTGTGGCATGTTCCCTTTCTTCTACCCTCACTACACAAACCTTTTCTCTGTCCCAGACTGTATACCAGGAGCTTCTGCCTGCTAGTAAAAAGGTTAGGAGAGGAGTGGACCAGTGAGTGCTAGGGAACAGTTCTTAGAAAGCGTGGAGCGAGCGCTTCATTAGACACATTTATGCTAAGCTCAGGGTGCCCCTTCCGGCATTTCTAGTTACATGATTCGCGTCAGTGGCCCACCCTTTTACCCCACCCATTGACGTCTTGCTTTACTGGACACTGCTGTTAGGGCGTAGGGATTTACTTGAAAGATGAAAACGAGAGATAAGCATAGGGTATGTGTTTTCGGATAGCTGCATTCTATGAGTTTCCCTCCAGCACCATATCCACCAGATACATGAAGCTTTGGAGGTATGACTGTTTTAGTGTTTTTGGTCGATAAGATTCTGTAATTAGGCCCATCATAACTGTCAGCACCAGGCCCACTGGACTCTTAATCTGGCCCTGGGGAGATGGCAAGTGTAGACGCTGGAGAAAGGTTGCCTGGTCTCCAGAGGAGGTTAATGTAAATATGTCATCTCCCTTATGAACCACTAGTGAACCATCTATCCCCCACCTATATTTAATTGCGGCTTCCCGCAGCTGTCTTGCAACAGGTGCTAGCTGCCAGCACGGTGAATGGGAGGTTTCCGTAGATAGCTACGGTGCATTCCTTGGAGTGGATATTACCAAGCTCTCTAAAGTGGGACATTATGGCAGACTGAGCCGCGATATCTTTAGACACTGCAATAATGTCTCTAGGTGCATCCGGGGGCAGATGCGGCTTTGCGGATACGGAATGCCGAAGTGACAATCTCAGGGTCTGCACCTCTCTTTGCACCCATGGAGGTCAGTAGTCGCTGGAGGAAGGGTTCATCTCCCGCAATTCGCTCCGGCACCCTTCTAAGGCTGATATTCTTTCATCTGTGCCGGGATGCCAGCGCTGTGACAGTCCTGGTTAGTTTCTGGACTTGTTGAGTGAGGTCCTGGATCCCGTCATGGGTGGTCTGCAGCTTTTGTTCCCTGGCTTTGTCCCTGGATTCCACCTTGGTCAGCCTTTGACACAGGGTCCCCAGCTCAGTTTGAGTTGCGTGCAGGTCTGCTTTCCACACCTGTCTCATTTCCAGCAGAAGATCTTTGATATCCTGTTTTGTCACTGGCAACAGGTCTTCATCGAAGTCAGACTCATTATAGGTGCCAGGTGTCAGAGGAGAGACAGGAGCTTCCTCGTCATCTCGGGATGCTTTGGATGGCATCTTAGGGGAAACTTGCTGGGTAGGCCTGTCAAATGAAAGCCTAATATCAGGCAGTTTTGATGCTTCTGGTATGCGGAGTATTCTATTTTATCGTGTCGGCTGTGTGGGGGTGTTGAGGTGTGAGGTTTGTTGGAGTTTTTTAATTACAGTTGTCTGCTGTTTTCCAGGTCCACACTGGAAAACAGCCTAATCTTTCTAGTTGCTTAATAAGCCATGCCCCCCGCTCCCCCCTTTTCATGTTTTTAAAATAGGTTTTAATAAAAATAATAAGGCTCTATAAGCACTTTTCAGGTACTTCGAAAAACAATCCACTGTATTGTTATGGAATTTATTTTGTACATGTATGCTTTGTGTAATGATATTATTTAGTGACACTGTATTTTTGTTTATGTTATTGCTGTCACTTTGTTAATTTATTACTCCAACTGAGCAGGTCATATACCCTTCACTGATCACATGACCAATAAAGATTGTTTAAAGGAAGTTCTGTTCACTAGCACTGACTACAGAGGAGTGAACTAGCATTGTATTCTCTGTATCCTCAGCTACTCAGTGAGGATCAGAATAAACAGTTTCCTTAGGTGAAACCTTTGCTCACCAGACTGATGCTCCTTCAATGAAGCACTCCTCCTTAGCTGGGTGATTACCAAAAGTCTCTAACAAATACAACTGGAGACAGCAAATGCAGCTCCCACAATCAGTATTTCTGTAGGTGAGGAAAGGTGCACAAGACCATTTTTCAATGCAAAACAATCGTATGTTGTAGCAATTACGTTTTTTTTTAAATTTATTTATTTAATATTTTGTGTGGGTGATACAATACAACACAAGAAATGTGGCAAAGCAATGTTATGAAATATGTTGTGAAAATACACCCATTTTATAATTATATAACACAAATTCTTATAATAACATAACTTAAAATAAAGATTTACACAAATCATTGCAAAAACAACAATAGAAATAACTTCTATGCATACAGAAATAAGAGAGCCCAAGGTAGAATGTGAAAAAGGTTTCAAGATGAGAAAGTACCCATAACTAGGGAGGAAGCTGGGATGAGGGGTGGGGGGTACTGCAATGCTGCACACAATCCCTCACAAGCATTGTGTGATATCACAGTGAGATAGGTTTAATAATTACAACTAAAAACTCTGAAATTAGTTACATAGCTAAAAAGAGAAATGCGTTCATCAAGTTCAGCCTTTCTCACATTCGTTTTTGCAGTGATTCCAAAAGAAGGCAAAAAAGCGCTTCCAGTTTTGCAGCAAACTAGGAAAAAATCCCTCTTTGTCAGGGGTTTGGTCGGGAAGGGGTGCTGATCAGTGCAGCACCCTCTAAAGAATGCAAAGAAACTTATGTACACACAAATAAAAGCAAAAAATAAGTGTATTGATATTTACAAAGAAGACAGTTAAGTAAAATACAAACACAGATAACGGAATGTAGGAGAAGGACCACTATATACAGGGTAGGCAAGACAGGCTTATGGATACAGGGTAGGCAGGACAGGCATCTGGATACAGAGATGGTAGGACAGGCCTCTGGATACAGGGTAGGTAGGACAGGCCTCTGGATACAGGGAAGGCAGGACAGGCCTCTGGATACAGGGAGGCGGGACAGGCCTCTGGATACAGGGTAGGTAGGACAGGCCTCTGGATACAGGGTAGGCAGGACAGGCCTCTGGATACAGAGATGGTAGGGCAGGCCTCTGGATACAGGGTAGGTAGGACAGGCCTCTGGATACAGGAAAGACAGGAAAGGCCTCTGGATACAGGGAAGGCGGGACAGGGCTCTGGATACAGGGTAGGTAGGACAGGCCTCTGGATACAGGGTAGGCAGGACAGGCCTCTGGATACAGAGATGGTAGGACAGGCCTCTGGATACAGGGTAGGTAGGACAGGCCTCTGGATACAGGAAAGGCAGGAAAGGCCTATGGATATAGGGAAGGCGGGACAGGCCTCTGAATACAGGGTAGGCGGGACAGGCCTCTGGATACAGGGTAGGTAGGACAGGCCTCTGAATACAGGTTAGGCAGGACAGGCCTCTGGATACAGAGTAGGTAGGACAGGCCTCTGGATACAGGGTAGGTAGGGCAGGTCTCTGGATACAGGGTAGGCAAGACAGGCCTCTGGATACAGAGTAGGTAGGACAGGCCTCTGGATATAGGGTAGGTAGGACAGGCCTCTGGATACAGAGTAGGTAGGACAGGCCTCTGGATACAAGGTAGGCAGGACAGGCCTCTGGATACAGGGTAGGCAGGATAAGAGGACCAGACCAACAACAAGACATTAATGAACTGGCAAACAAGAAAGGGCAAGTATTTATCCAATTGGTGTTTAAACATTTGTATAGATTTTGATAAAACTGCCTCTTCAGACAGAGAATTCTACATCCTTTTTGTTTTTGCGTAGACTAAAAATAAATAGAAATTACTAATATAAAGTACATACATCTTTGTCACTGAGTCCTTTCCCACTCCTGGGACAAAAGGAGACACTGTGATGATAGTCCAAGTATGAGTAGTGATAGACAACTTCTGAAGGGATTTTCCTAGACCAAAAGCAATAAGGAATATAAAAGTCTGGAGTAGTGACAGCCTGTTGGGGTCACTTATTAATGGAACTCATAGATTTATGAACAATGTAAATCAGGTAAAAAGGTGAGGTGGTGTGTCATCGGGTGCTTTTCCCTGAAGCATAGTCGTTAAACATTGTCTATCTACATGTGTTTGACAGTGTAAAATAATATCTAGGAGCAACATTGGACAAAGTGCTTTACTTGTGTTATGGGAAGTATTGAGGCTACCTGATGACTGATAAAGTGTGGAAGTTTCTCTGATGTAACTGAGGCCAAGACACCCCTAATTTTAAGATTCTTCCATCTATCTCAGTCATCAAGGTGGTCAAACTGTAGGGTATAGTTTCAGTGTAATGTTTGCAATTGTTGTACTGTTTTCCCCTTGAGTAGATTCAGTATATCCTCTTCTGAGGCCTGGACACAAGCAGTAATCCTCTGTCTTTACAACTTCAACATCTTTTAAATGTCTGCAAATAGATTTTGGATGTCCTACTTTGTGGCTGGGGCTGTTTTGTCCGAATCAGCAGAGGTGGTTGAATTGGAGTCTTGTGTATGTGATGGCAGGGCCTAGTCAGTAATACCATCCTCAATCAGGGAGGTGTAGGCCTCCGAATCAGCTGGTTGCACCATCTTGGTCCGCAGAGTGCTTTGAAACATTGTGACAATGTCTCTAATGACTTTGGAGGCAGTTGCCTGTGGCCAGTGGTGTATTTTGGTTTTGTGCTGCCCTAGGCATGACAAAACTCAGGCACCCTCCCCTTCTAAATTTCCTTTCCTGTTAAAAACCAACACGCTCTTTGCCTGACAGACACACGCCTTCACTGATGCATACACTGACATACACTCACTGACAGATACACAGTCATTGTCACACACACTGTTTAACCTACACACACTTTCACTGAAACATACACACTCACTGATAGACAGAAATGCACACTCACATTCACCGACAGACACACACATCCACCGACAGACACACTAACTGACACACACATTTACTGACAGATACACATACACACTCATTGACAAGACACATACTCACTGACAGACACACACTCACTCAGTGTCAGACACACACACACTGTGACACACATATGCTTACTGACAGACACACATTGACAAACACACATACATACTCACTAACAGACACATATACGCTCAGTGTCAGACACACACATTCACTAACAGACATACAGATTGACTCACAGATACACATTCTCAGTGACAGACACTCATACACACACTAACAGACACACACATTCACTAACAGACATACATACTCACTCTCACTAATAGACACAGAAAAACAAACACACTCACTGACACATACACACACCAACACACTCACTAACAGACACACACACACACACACACAGTCTCATTAACTGTAAAGACAGACAGACAAACTAACACACTCACCAACAGACAGACACACACACACACACTAACACTAACACACTCACTAACAGACACACACACACTCTCACTTACAGACACAGACACACTAGCACACTCACCAACAGACACACTCTCACTAACATAGACACACACAAACACTCACTAACAGACACACACACACACACACACACACTAACACTCACTAACAGACACACACACACACACACACACACACTCTCACTAACACACTTTAAGGGATTATTCCCTGGGGTCCCGTGGAGCTGAGAGGAAAGACAGGTGCATAGTTCATGCGAGCAGCGAGGGAACTCTGATCCTATGCCGAAGCCAGAATATGACATCATATTCTGGCTCCGGCATCTCTGCAGGGCACACAAGGGAACTGAGCAGGGAAGAGCTCAGGGGAGAGTGCTCCCTCGCTGCCTGTCTCCCATATCAGCCCATGCCAGCCTCTGGGGGTCCCTGAGGTGGTCAGCCGGCCAGCTCCCAGGCCCTCCAGGACAAGAGGCTGACATGGCATCTGTCGGGGCCTTTAGGGGGTGTTTTTTTTTTTGCCGCCTCCCTGAAAGTGCTGCCCATGGCAAATGCCTTGTCAGCCTCGTGGTAAATACAATGCTGCCTGCGGCACAAGCAAGGTTAGCAGAAATGTAAATTGTGTCTATACTGGATCGATAATAAAATGCACAAAATAGCACAAAAAACAATCTCTGATATGTGTTTCAGGATTAAAAATAAGGCTTTTTGGGGGATAAACACATTCTAATGTGTAATATATCACGGTTGTTATATGACGCCTACTTCTGAAATTTATTTCGATTTTTAATGAGGTACCACAAGTTAACATTTTCTTGTGATTTAGTGCAATATTAGATATTTTTCACAATTTACACTGTTAGTACTTTAAATATTTGTTTAAGCACACTTTACATATATTGCACTGTTTATAGAAGCACTCTACTTGTAAGGTTTTTAAATAAACAAAGCTAGTATCATTGGTTGTGAGATTCTCTTGCTCTCATGTTTTCATACTTTTTCTAAATTGCTCCTATACTGTTTTATTTTATTATTTTGTTGTTTTCATCTATTTAGACAAGACAAATGTATTATTGTGCATTGCAATCCAAAAAAAGAAGGCAGAAAAACTGCGTACCCACAGGGGTTAGCATTGCTTTAAGTAACTGATTAGAATCATCATTCCTTTTATGTCCATCAGCTGTATGATGTGTTCCCATCCCTGTATGGCCATTGGCCTGTGCCATACTGTTTCACCCAGCAAAGCATTATAATTTCACTGATTGTTTCGAATGATTCACCCATCCCTGTCATATGGTATACATAAGTCTGAGTTGGATAATTCTGTTTTTTACTTTTCAGACATAATCTGTGACCTTAACTGTCTATTAATTTTCCTTTACTGTTTTCATTAGGTGTAAAACACTGTTAATATGACCTTTCTAAAGGAATGAATAGCAATAATAATAAAAATGATGGTCTTTAGTGAATCGACTTTTCAGTGGGAATCTTTTGTTTCTGAAAACATGCTTTTTTATTTTAAATCACAACTAAGCTGCTGAATGAGCCATTGCACCACAAGGCAATTTTTCAGCTTCTGGAAATATATGTTTACCGACTTTCAGGGTAACCTAGCTGTATATAAAACAACGTGACTGAAAACAATCACACAGCTCGAAGCCAATTTAATTAAGTCCCATTAAGGAGCTGAGGCTCCAGAAGCATCCAGAGAAAGGCACTTTCTACATCTTTTCAGATGGTGCATGCATTTAATACAAGGGTCATTTCAATGTGTTACTATTACAGGATTATAGGATTGATAAATTACATAGTTCATATTTCCATTTATTTTTGAGTGGACCGAGGGAATAATTTCTGTCTGCAAGACAGTTGAAGGAGGGTGCCAGATGAGGAGGAATGGACATCTTAATGGGACAGGTCTGGATCCCAAGCAAGTGACCAGTCACCCTTATTCCAGTTACAATGCCTTAGGTGCTTAGAGAAACCATTTCATTCACAACATCACTTATTGTGAAGTATATTTGCCATGCTCTGTAATACAGTGTCAATGATGTGGTTCTACATTTGTATCTGTTTCCTAGTGGATCATATTTCAATATCACCGACAACTATATACCTTTGAAGAGCTCATGAATATACTGGTCTTGAATCTGTCTGTCCCCTCTGGTATCCCTGAATACCTGGCTTGATCTCCTGTTGCCTCCACTTCACCATCCAGTTCCTGGGAAAGGTCATCTCACAGTGCTAAATTGTGCAAGTAGCAGCATACAGTTATCATGGGGTAAGTACACATACACTGTGTTATGGTGGCTGCTGAAAAAAGTTAGTGTGGCGCTCAGTTACAAACTGCATTCTGTGAAAGGCTCTACAGTACGCGCTCTGCGCTGGACCTGGATTCTGAGTGACAGCTGTTCGCAAGTGTGTACTCATATCCAGCGTTACCTGGGGTAAACAGAAGGTACATCTTAAAGAGTAACACCAATTGCATCTGTACATATAAAAAGAAAGTAAACATAAAAAGCACATACAGCAGGAAAAACACACACATATGAGCATCCCGCAACCCCATGTGTAAGTAGCTATGGGGAATAAGAGTCTTCTGGCTAGCCAGGGTTGCCCCAAGACATTGTGCAGCCTTGGTCCAAGGATGAAATGCTGCCTTCTTCTCACCAAACCCACGCCTAATATAACACACTCACATCCAATTTTTTTCCCCTTCATCTCTCCAATGCCACTTGGAGTTAAGCCATCGGGAGGAATTCCACATAACGCTGACAACTTATGACGTCTGATATCACTGCGTATGTAGTGTTCGTGTTTGAATGAAGGGGTGTATTTGTATGTAATGTTTGTGTTTTAATACAGGGATTTATTTGTAAATAGTGTTGGTGTTTGATTGCAACAGTGTGTTAATATTTAGTGTGGGCATTTGATGGCAGGGGTTTGTTTGCATGTAGTGTTGGTGTTTCATTGCATTTAGTGTTGGTGTTTGATTGGAGGGGTGTTTGAATGTTAATGCTGGGATCTATGCACATATACACACACACACATATACCCACACTGACACACACACATATACAGACATACTGACACACACACACACACACACATATATATAATACAACACAAATCTGCACACCAGTCAAGCCATAAGACTTGCTTTTCCCACAGGAATCACAAAGCTGCAGTGATGTTACTACCTCAAAGGATTCTGGGTGGGCATAAGCAAATTAGTTCAACAAAGAATCACATTTTTGCCTCATTCCAGGCAATGTTGTGTGTACCATGGAAGGTACACTTTAAAATGTCACTTTCACCCTATTACACAGATATTCTGAATTTAAACAAATATGTTTAGTTTAAAATGACAGACTTGATAATTTCCTTGCCCTTTTGGAGTATCCCCCGTGAGTGGCATGGACAAAAGATCCAATACTTATATTCAGGGGAATCCAAATTATATCAGTCTCGTGGAGTAGCAATTAACACAAATGGCTGTGAGTCCAGAATTACTTCCTGCTCGTTTATTCAAAGTAGGGTGTATTTATACACAATATTGTTGCAGTTTAGCTTGAAAGTTTAAAAATAAAGTTTAAAAATAAATAATGTAGTTAAAGATAGGAAAATCATAAGATAAAATTAGTTAATGTTGCTACATATTTCATAAGATATAAAATGAGTTTACAAAACAATATGTGGTTACATATTTTATAAGATAGGAAGGTCGCAGAGACAAAATTAGCTAGCAAATAGTCACACAATGTACAGTTTCTCAAAATAAGTACTCCAGTGGGGGCTAGAATACACAGAAAACGCAACTTATGCTGACACGTATACAGCATTTTAAAGAGAAAACATTCATTACATATAAAGACCATCAGATGTAGGCCTTAATTTAATTACGCTGAACATTGGAATCAAGATATATTCTATCACAGGAGCAGTGGAAACCATTCATTTAATACTATCACTCTCAGATTTCCAAAGAAAATCCTGGATTTTTAAAGGGGGCTGTTTCGGACATTCCTCTTCCCATTGTAATTGCTATGTAAATGCATGTTCTACTTTGAAATTAAAATGAAAAATGTCCTGCTACGGTAATAGAGAACTCTTGGAATGAGGCAAAAATTTGATTCTTTTTTGTACTAATTTGCATATGCCCAGCCAGAATCCTTTGCGGTAGTAACATCACTGCAAATTTGTGATTCCTGTGGGAAAAGCAAGTCTTAAGGCTTGATTGGTGTGCATTTTTGTTCAACATTGTATTAACTGTCCCCAGACTTCATGTGGAAGGTGTTTTCAATCACAATTTTTCCCCACCATACCTTTTTTGGTATGTATATACAGTGTGACCTCGGTTTACAAACACCTCGGTTAACATAATTTTCGGTTTACAAATGAAAATCCATTGAAAATAATGCCTCGGTTTACAAATTTTTTTTGCAATACAAAGCAAGTTTCCCCAGGATGCATTGCACCTGGGAGGTTTATAGCACTGCCCAGTGCATGCTGGAGCCTGTGGGTAGCACGTGGCGTCGAGTGTGGAGGTGTGCTACCCACAGGCTTCGTTGTATGCATGCCTTTTATTGTGTGTTCTGCATTGTGGGTTGGTTTCCATGGCAGCTCATTTTAACTTTTTTTCTGACCTCCAGAACGGATTAATTGGTTTTCAATGCATTCCTATGGGAAACCGCGTTTCGGTTTACAAATGTTTCACAATAAGAAACGTCCCGGAGAACGCATTAAATTCATAAACCAAGGTCCCACTGTATGTATATATATATATATATATATAAATATATATATATATATATATATATATATACCCACACACATATACATACACACACACAAGTCTCAACTTAGTCTCAGCATATTTGTAGCCACTCCCCTGCTTCCATGCCTTTTAGTTTCAGGAGTTTAGTTTATTGGGCTGGCTGAGGCTGATGGGAGTCTGAACCTGCCCAGGCTCTCTGTCTGCAGTGTGCTCCCTCTCTGTGCCTCCTCTGTCCTCTAGCCTATAAACTGGGAGGATCTCCCCAGCACTGGCTGTCGGTATTAAAAGGGCCCGGTCTCACTACCAAGGGGCCGCAGCACCCAACTGAGCCTCTTATCCCATGTGCCCGACAATCATGTTTGCCATAAGTGGATGGGCTACCCGATGGTCCCCCATTACATGCGGTCACCGACAGTAGTTCCACCAATGGGGGGTGGCAAATGCTGCATGGGGCCATGACCCTATTGGAACCCATGCACTGTCCCGCTCTGCTTCAGGTACAAGGTAGACATGATACAAGATGGTCACACTCAGCGGAGGGGCCGGTGTAACATATAGGGTTTATATTATTATGTGTACTTAAGCAAAAAAACATAATTCTGGGAAATGCCACCCTTAAACTATTCAAAGAAGAATGAACTATGTAGGAAATATTAGTCATGAGTACTTCCAGGTAAACCAACATTCACATGCTTTATGACTTTTGGATGATTACAAACAACGTGCATCTGCACGGGAGTGGAATGTTTGCAATATTCATATAGGATATCGTAAACTTAGGCAGACGTGAGTTGTGCAAGTGTGCAGTCAATGGTTCTCATGGATTTTAGGCCAGATTTACATGTCAGGTGCCTGTAGGCAGGGAATTCTAAGGCTCCCCATTCTCGCCCCCCACCCCAATCCCAACAAAAAGATAGACAAATTGGGTTTAATGTAATTATTAACTGAACATTGCAGACATAAAAAATTGATCTAATGAAATATGTATTTCAATTTGACAACTGTATATGTATATACATATCTCTACTTGTAATGTATAGTGTTTGAATCTGTGGTATAGTGTGTGCATGCCATGATCCATGTTAGCAGTCCTTTAACACTAGTTTTGAGAGAAAGGAATTGAAGCTCCAGAAGTCGGGGCTTGTGGTAACCAGGAAGATAAGCAATACATTTCAACAGGTGGACTGCGCAATCCAACATGAAAGGACTATGTTCCTTTGGAAGCTGAAGGAACCCATAAAATGTTGGCAACTTATTATTACTATCGCCATTTATATAGCGCTAACAGATTCCGTAGTGCTTTATAAACCTGAGAACTTTTCTAATCATCCATGAGAAGATCATACAAATCAGGGATGCTTGCACATGTCAAGTGACAACACTCATTTATGTCTCCATCCCCCATTTTTGTATGTTTTTCTAGGGGCCCTCTGCTGTTGATGATTTGTCTTTCCCTCTCTCACCTGGCGAGCCCCTCTCACAGCCTCACCTGGTCTCCCATGTTCCACAACTCATTGCTGCTGATGTTGGTGCTGAGGCAGTTGCTGGTTTCTGCATGGGCTGCTGTAGTCAAGCCATGCATTCTGGGTACAACTTGCCAAGTTTCCTACTTTCCAGTGCCATTTTTGATAGTGAATTGCAGCTATGAATAGGTGGCAAATGTGTAATAAACCTATACGCTTCCACAGGTTATTGCAGTGTGTGCTTGTTTCTTAAAGGTGTTAAATGTACTTTTCAATTATTGTGCACCCTCATATTTGTTATGTTTCCTAATTGCCATTTAATTCTTCAAATTGTTGAGGTATGAATGCTTGTAGTGATTTTTCTGGTTATGAGCTAACACTTTTTTGAGGTATTGGTAATTTGTTAAAAAAAACAAAAACATTACCAAGACTTTTGGGGTTCTCAATTCACCATGTTTTCAATGATCTCATCAAATTAATTTCTGGTAAGGGTGTGACTGATAAAACTGCAATGTTTAACATAAGATAATATTTTAATTCTGATAGAAGTGGTGTTGGAAAGTTTTTCGATTGATAAGATGGTGATCATCTCGGCATTGTAAACTGTTCATCGTTAACATTTTTGACAAATACTAGATATGAGATTGTAATTTATCTATCAGTACATATCAGATCATCCTGAATGTGTCTTTGTTCTTGGGGATTTCTGCACATATATGACTATTAGAATATAACTGTGTATGACATACAGAAATTGTCATTATATTCCCATTTGCCATAGTTCTGCCAAGATAACTGAAAAGAAAAAACGCAGGAGGCCTTAGCGGCTGTTATTCAGCAGCAAAACGTGGTGGAAGAGATGCATAAGATTAAGCAGCTTGTCTAACACAAAAGAAACCCTGTTTTTGTTAGTTGTTTAGTAAGTGGGTCATGGATAAATTAAGAGAGGTTAAAGGGTCATGTAACAGAATAGCTATTCTGATCTCACTTCTAATTGTAGGATATCTTTTTCTGGGACACTTTCATTGACACTTGTAATAATTATGACTTTTATGTAGAGCTGGTAAGTTTACTACTTATTATTGTCAACATACTATAGAGCTCGAGTTCCTAAGAAGTTCTACTTCTTTAGAGTAAATTTCATAATAGCCCTCTCTAGAAATAATACTGAGTAAGTAATCATCTGACTAAACTCTTGACATTTACGATGTAATTAGGAAAAATGTCAAGAGATAGTGGTCAAAACCGCATTAATCTTAAACTGCAGGTTTTATTTATTTAAATACTGAATTATAATGAATTGAAAACCAAATCATAAGAGACAAAAAAAGCTTATTTGGGAAAAAAAATGTCCTGCTCAGTTATAACAACGTGTTGGCTATTTTAGCCTAAATGTTGTCCTTGTTTTCAGTTCACATCTATGTTTAGTTATTTTAGTCATTAACCCCTTAAGGACTGAGCCAATTGGACAAGTTGCGATTAAAACAAAACGTAAACAAAACCTGGAATTTGCGCTATATGTCTGTTCTTTCATATTATGTGCACCCACACTTAACATATATCATTTTGTTCATGAGAAACAGGGATTTCATGTCACATGAAATTTATTATAGTAAACATAATTTAATATGAGTAAAATATTAAAAAAATGAGAAATTAAGAAATTTTGTTACTTTTTAGTTCTGCATGGCATTTTAACTGTGAATGTCATAATACTGTTAGCTGTTACTGCAATAAAGTACACATATTTCTATTCAGCGATGTCTCACAGGTAAAACAGTACCCCCAATGTACAGGTTCTATGGTGTTTTGGAAAGTTACAGGGTCAAATATAGCACATTACATTTTTCAGTCTATACACATTGAGTATATCCAGTCTTTTCTAGTAGCCACTTAGCCACAAACACTGGCCAAAGTTAGCGTTCATACTTGTTTTTGTTGGCTACAAAAAAAGACTGGACATACAACATTTGTAATACCTTGGGTTGTCTACGTTTGCAAATGGTATGCCATCATGGGAGTAATTTTAATTTCTGGGCTACCATACAGTCTCAAAGGCAACATAACCAGTCTGGCAAATTTCAATGTAAAAAAAGGAAATCCAAGCCTTATATTTGACTCAGTAATTTTTGAAAACACCATAAAACCTGTACATGGGAGGGGGGGGTACTGTTATACTCAGGAGACTTCGCCGAACACAAATATTAGTGTTTCAAAATAATATCTTCAGTGAAAGAACCAAATTTTTACTGACAATATCATCGTTGTGATATGTTTTACTGTTTTTAAACACTAATATTTGTGTTCAGCAAAGTCTCCAGAGTAAAACAGTACCCCCCATGTACAGGTTGTATGGTGTCCTGGAAAATTACAGAGTTATTTATAGGGCTTGCGAGCCAAATTCTCTGGACTTACTGACTTACTGACAAATAAGTATAATATATACAGTGAAGGAGATGTGAGTGTGATGTATCACCTGAGTGGGAAACCCCTTATACCACTCCAAAATATACACAAATGCAAACATACAGTAGGTGAATCACACTCTTGGAGATATCTTAACCTCAGTGTGGGTCCCCACCTGAGATAAAAGTCCCTTGCCGTGGCAGGCGATAGAACGGGTAAACAATGGGAGGAAACTTCATATAGAATGCTAGCTGTAGATGATGAGCGTTCAGCTCAGCCGTGTAAGATGATCCAACCACTAGCAGCTGATGGAAGTCACAGAAACAAGGTGAGGTGCGGGTTGATTCTAATTCAGAATACACTGCGGTCGGTGTCTTCAAAAAAGACTGTGGTGTAGAAAGCTTCAGTTACTCAGTAAATAATGAGAAGACCGGAAGCAGTAGATACGTGATGTCGTCTACACATTTCGTTCCCAATGTGGAACTTTATCAAGACCAGGTCCAGGCTGGCATGAGTCCTGCTCCAAAGGCTGGCATACCGTGTTTCCCCGAAAATAAACCCTACCCCGAAAATAAGCCCTAGTCGGATTTTCGGGGTGGGCTGCAATATAAGCCCTACCCCGAAAATAAGACCTAGGCATTGTACCTTTGCGGTGAGACTTCCTTCTTCTGCTGTAGGAGGAGCGTCGCGCAACGTGATGACGACATTTTGCAGCGCCGTCAGTCTGCCTTCACGGATCTTCAGCGGAAGGATCCATTTCCGGGCGGTGAGGCTCCCAGTGGTCGGACTCGGCAAGGAATCTTTGAAATGTGAGTACTGCTAGATATTTTATGTCTGGGATTTATTGAATTAATTAAAGGGGGGTGAATTAATTAAAGGGGGGTGAATTAATTAAAGGGTGGGCTGGATTAATTAGAGGGGGTGAATTAATTAAAGGGGTGGTGAATTAATTAAAGGGTGGACTGGATTAATTAGAGGGGGTGAATTAATTAAAGGGGTGGTGAATTAATTAAAGGGTGGGCTGGATTAATTAGAGGGGGTGAATTAATTAAAGGGTGGGCTGGATTAATTAGAGGGGGGTGAATTAATTAGAGGGGGTGGATTAATTAGAGGGGGGTGGATTTATTAAAGGGTACCGTACCGGTACCGGTACCGTAAATAAATAAGCCCTACCCTGAAAATAAGCCCTAGTGAGTTTTTTGTGACTAAAATTAATATAAGACCCGGTCTTATTTTCGGAGAAACACGGTACATAATGAGAGATAAAAAGAAGATGAGAAAAGAAAAGAGTCCTCAGGGTCCTGATTAGCCGATGCCTTGCGGGGTACTGGTGGCGCTCCTGCGTGGTACTCTATTTCTCGGTAGTTCAATGTAGGCAGGTTGTGGTGTTGCTGAGCTTGGAGGGTGCGCCTTCCGGCTCCATTTATGTGGTAACCGAGGCGTAGGTGACCGGTGTGGTGCTCTGCGGTCTGAATGGGGCACTTTTTGCTGGATCCCAGCTGTGGGTCGGGGTGGTGGGATCACGGGGTCCCGCTTGGGAGAGTGAATCCTGTGACAGACCCAGGGTTCATAGAAGAACCGCTGCGTCTTGCATGCTGTAGATTTGGTGTGTTGTTTCGCCATGTTGTACCAGGAGCGTGTATGAGGACCGCCAGCGATACGGTATTTTGTTGCGCTGGAGTGTGGAGGTGAGAGGCCGAAGTGACCTGCGCCACGCCAGAGTTCCACTGGACAGGTCGGCGTAGAAGGTTAATTTTGCATTCTCAAACTGTATGGGGGCTTTACCCCGGACGGCGGTGAGGACATTTTTAAAGGTAAGTATAGTGTCCCTTTTGGCCATATCTGGGGCCCCAGCGGGTTTTGGAATCTGGAAGAGATCTGTGGGTGTGATGGCTTTGGCTTGGTCTAGGGGCAGCATGGTGGTTAGCAGGTGCTTGATTGTGTGCGGTAGGTCAGCCTCCGGCAACCCCTCTGGGATCCCCCGACCTTTATATTGAGTCTCCGTCTTGTGTCTTCCTGGGTTGCGAAGCGCCGTTCATACAGCATATTTTGGTTGCGCAGGTCCCCCATATCTTTCTGCAGTGAGGCGATAGTGCGCTGCTGTTCTTGGGAGGAATCCTCTAGTACTGTAATGCGGCCTGCCAGGCCCTGCAGCTCTCCCCTTAGTGTGGTGACATCCGCGAGGATGTTTTTTTGTAGGTCCGCTAGCAGGGTCTTTAACACCCCGGTGGTTACCAGGTCGGCGTCTGGGTCCTTCCTTGGTTTGCTGGGTTTTGCCCTCTGCTTTGGGTCTGGGGCTGAGAGGCATTCATCTTCGGCTCCCCATGAGCAGTTGTCTGAGAAATTCGAGCAGCCTCCGTGGAGTGCCGCCATATTGGATCCGCTCGGGCCGAATGCCTGCCGATACATTTCCCCTATTGTGAGTCCTGGGACTGGTTTGTCCGGCATCTGTTTCTTGTGCTTGCGTCCCATTAGGGCTTATGGGGTTCCTGCTTGCGGTCAGTGGTTATTGGGGGTAGTATCTGCCGTTTTTAAGTGTATTTTCTCAGTTTTTGCTCGGAGCTCCTGAGTCTTGCGTCTGCTTGCCTCTGCTGTTAGGCTCCGCCCCCCAAAAATAGATTTCTAGTTTTTCTTCTTTTAAATATAGTCTCCTACTTTACTGTGTTGATTCCCTTTATGTATTTAAATGTTTCTATCATATCCCCCTGTCTCGTCTTTCCTCCAAGCTATACATGTTAAGATCCTTTAACCTTTCCTGGTAAGTTTTATCCTGCAATCCATGAACCAGTTTAGTAGCTCTTCTCTGAACTCTCTCTAACGTATCAATATCCTTCTGAAGATACGGTCTCCAGTACTGCGTACAGTACTCCAAGTGAGGTCTCACCAGTGTTCTATGCAATGGCATGAGCACTTCCCTCTTTCTACTGTTAATACCTCTCCCTATACAATCAAGCATTCTGCTAGCATTTCCTGCTACTCTATTACATTGTCTGCCTACCTTTAAGTCATCAGAAATAATCACCCCTAAATCCCTTTCCTCAGATGTTGAGGTTAGGACACTATCAAATATTCTGTACTCTGCCCTTGGGTTTTTACATCCAAGATGCATTATCTTGCACTTATCCACATTAAATGTCAGTTGCCACAACTCTGACCATTTTTCTAGTTTACCTAAATCATTTGCCATTTGGCTTATCCCTCCTGGAACATCAACCCTGTTAATGATGTATGCATGTGTATATAAAAGTACTTAGATCATATATATATATATATATATATATATATTTTTTTTTTTAATTTAAACACTGTTTTATAACTATTATTATCTTAAACAAACTTAACTTTTTTACAGACATGAGGGGGACAGCCTGAGAGGTCAGGCAGTCCCCTTACTGGCACTGCATAAGCCAGCTATTCCGGCTATGTGATCGCGAGGACCCCGTGATCACGTGGCCAGGGGCTGGATCAGGCAGAGGGGGTCTATCTGAGCTCCCAGGCAGACCCGGGGATCGCGACCGCCATTGGGGGAACAGCGAGGACCCAGAAAGTACAAAGGACAGCGGGGACGTTTTATGCCGCCTGCCGGCATTTATGACCGCCTAAAAAAGGACGGGATAGAATGCTCACTGTCATTAAAGGATTAAACCGATCACATTTTGCTGCCCAAAAAGATACTATGAAATGTATGGAATCAATGTTAAGGGAGATAAAAAATAGGATGTTTTATTATATTCTGTACATATTTTTAAACAAGGTCTTGATGGCTTTTTATTTATTTTTTATTAAAAACAGAATAGTTAAAGGGACACTCCACTAACTAAATTCAAAATTTAAAAAAAAACACTTTTTAGTATATATGCCCCAAATGAAAAATGCATTTAATTACACATTTTTCATTGGGGGGTAAATCTAAAGAAAACAGCTTGCAGAACCTACAGATCTCTTCTGTTCTGCCTGGCAAACCCTACCAAATAATAAAGTGTGTATGATATATGTCTTCAGCTGGTGACTGTGACATGGTGAGTAAAGGGGTACCAGTGGCAGGGAGAGTGTGACAGGACAAATTAGGTAAATGGGGCAGGGTGGGGGGAGTTGTGAGAGAGAATGAGGGATGGTGAGTATGACATGGTTTTATGAGGGAGTGTGACAGGGCGAGTGGAGGTAAGTGTGCCAGGGCAATAGTGTCAGGGGGCCTTCTGTGATGACCATGGATGTCCCCCATGGTACTCACCTCTTACAGGAGGAGAATGATCCTCTCCAGCATCCCTCTTCGTTCTCCAGCATTTTTTTACGCTGGCCTCGATAGCCCCGCCCCCTTTTATGCCGCGGCGCGGGTGCATCAACATCATAACGCTAATGATGTCACGTCCCGCCGAAATGTTTGGTGGTGTGGTTACCATCCTAACGAGCCACAGTATAAAAAGGACTCAGAGGGCAAGGTTCATTGCTCTGTTGTGGTTCATTATTGTTCCCTATAGTGCTTTATCTGTATTCTGTATTCTGGTTATTGACTTCGCCTCCATTTTGACTACTCTCCATTCTATACTCCTTTGACCCGGCTTTAGTATTCTCATTTACCCTGATCTCTGTACTCCTTGACCTCGGCTTGACTCTGACCACTCTTTGTTCTTCTTACATTAGTCCGGCCATTCTAAGGTCCGGTATACGTTACCGTTTGATTACATTCTGTGTGTTGGATCCCATTCCATTCTTGACATTACAACAGGGCCATGATTGATCCAGCAGGTGTAGGCTCTCAAGGTTGTCCATACGATACCCTTTTTGAAGAAATGGATCATCGTATGGATCAAATAGCATTAGCGTTCATAACCCTTATGAATAGGTCCATCCCCAGACCCGAAGAAAGTCGTAACCCTTCTACGATTCCTGTACCCATGGGATTTGAGGTTGCTACTGTTGTGGCTTCATCGCATGTTACATCACCATTGCATTATGTTGGAGAACCTGATGCCTGTCGGGGTTTTTTGAATCAAGTTAGCTACAACCCCGTTCTTATCCTACAGATAGAGCAAAGGCTGGTTTCATTATTACCCTGCTAGTCGATAAAGTATTAACCTGGCTAATCCTCTTTGGGAGAACGAGAATCCATTGGTGTACAATTATGTTGCTTTCATAGCCGTGTTTAGACACACTTGTGACCCCTCTGGTAGGAAAGCCAATGCTGCCAGAACCTTACTTCGCCTAAGCAAGGTACTAGATCTTTGGTCGACTTCAGGTCCTTAGCCGCTGAAGTGACTTGGAACAACCAAGCTTTTATAGATGTGTTCCTTAATGGTTTGTCTGATGTGATATTGGATGAGATAGCTACCAGAGAACTCCCAGAGAACCTAGAGGAGTTGATTTCCTTTATATCACGTATAGATAAATGCATGTGATTTAGACAAAACACCAAAGATCGCCTTATCAATGTTCCTACTATGTCTCCTTTATCCACAGAAGTACCCAAACAATATCTAGGCATAAAGGCAGTATTCAATAAGAGAAAAGCTGAGTTATTACCTCCTCATAGACCCTACGACTGTGCTATTAACCTTCTAGAGGTACTGTTTACTCCTTTTCTGCCAAGGAGAACTTAGTTTTGGACGAATACATTACAGAGAATTTGAGGAAGGTTTTTATTAGGTCTTCTTCTCCAGCAGGGCCTGGATTTTTCTTTGTATCCAAGAAAGAAGGTCCTCTTAGACCCTGTATAAATTCTAGATTGAATAAAATTACCTTTAATTACTGAGTTGTTTGATAGTTTCAAAGAAGCCAAATTTCTTACCAACCTAGATCTTAGAGGGGTGTATAATCTTGTCAGGATTCATGAGGGAGGAGTGGCAGACAGCCTTTAACACTATGGGCATTATGAATTATGCTTTTTGGGATATGCAATGCCCCGGCTGTCTTCCAAGACCTCATCAATGACATGTTAAGGGAATTCCTTCAAGAGTGTATTATAGTATACCTAGATGATATTCTGATTTATTCAGACAAGTTAAAAAGGAATTGACTAAACTGTTACAAAACGGATTGTACTGTAAACTTGAAAAATGCCTTTTTGACCAACACTAAATCAGTTTTCTTAGATGTGTGATTTCAGGAAAAGGGTTTTCTATGGATCCCAAGAAATTGTACTCCATACTCCAATGGCCACTACCTAATGGGTTAAAGGCTATTCAAACTATTACAGACGCTTCATAAAGAATTTTTCGTCTATAGTTGCTCCAATAACAAACGTGACAAAAAAAGGTATGAATCCAAGGAGATGGGATTCCAATGCGTTAAAAGCTTTTGAGATACTTAAAACATCTTTTGCATCTGGCCCTGTTTTAGTGCATCCTAATCCTAGTCTATCTTTTATGTTAGAGGTAGATGCTTCAGAGACTTGTGTAGGAGCTGTGTTGTCCCACTGACAAAGTCCTGACCTACCACTACACCGTTGCGGGTTCTATTCTAGAAAATTGTCTGATACAGAAAAACGTTACGCCATAGGAGACAGAGAACTCCTTGCTATAATCCTAGCTTTAAAAGAATGGCGACACCTGTTAGAAGGTAAATTACTTCCAGCGACTATCCTAACAGATCATAAAAACCTCTCCTATATTAGAGAGGCCAAAGGTCTTTCTGCTAGGCAAGCCTGATGGTCCCTTTTTAAAACAAGATTTAACTTCGTGTTAACGTATAAACCTGGTTTGAAGAATTCTGAAGCTGATGCATTGTCCCGTCAATATGAACCGCTTGTCGATTCTACTTTTGATTCTAATTTTGAGGTATCTTCTATAGTAACCAAACAACTCATCATAGCTAATACTAGTATCAGTCTCCCCTGGTGACGGATATTGCTGCTAAACAGTCACAGTCTCCTGGGGTTATCCCAGAAGGATGTCTATATGTTCCTCCTGAACACCAGAATGAGATACTTGTCCATTTTCATGACAGTAAAATCGCAGGTCATCCAGGTGTTCGCAAGACATATTCCCTAATTGTCAAAGAATACTGGTAGCCTTCATTGCGAAAGGATAGTAATAAATATGTTAAGGCTTATACGATTTGCACAAGAACTAAACTGTCTTATGCTCTCCCATGTGGCTTGCTTCAACCCTTAGATAGTCCTAAAAAATCCTGGGTCAGTATAGCCATGGACTTCATTGTCATTGACCGGTCAAAGTGACGCATTTCATCAAAGTGGCGCATTTCGTAATTCTGGCGAAGTTACCCACAAGATCTTTGCCAGTGAAATATTCCCGATCTATGGAATACCTGGAGAAATTATATCTGACAGGGGTTCGCAGTTTAACAAAAAAACCTGCACACTGGTTCCGCCTGCAAATACCGGCCCTCTATCGTGGAGGTGCTCTGTGTCAAAGGTGAACAACGCTGAATCCACCAAAATACTCAAAAAGGCAGAAGAACAGAGGCAACACTCTATGATCAAGAAGGTAAGTTTATTTCTGGATACACCACCTCATAAAGTGCAAAGTACAACGTTTCGGCTCAACAGAGCCTTAATCATGCAGTTTATCTCTAAATATTGGAGGGTTTTCTGTAAACAATTGGGTATAACTCTCAGTTTTTCTTCAGCTTATCATCCCCAATCTAATGGGGCAGCAGAACGTACTAATCAGAAGATCGAGCAATACCTTTGATGTTTTGTATCTGCTCATTAGGATGACTGGGTTGGCTTGCTTCCTTGGGCTGAGTTTGCACACAACAGCTTAGTTTCCGATGTTACGCAACTCAGCCCATTCTTCTTAAATGATGGTTTTCATCCAGTTGTTCTCCCATCCGCGTTTTTATCGCAGGGAATGCCGATTGTTGATGTACACCTTGAAAGCAAGCTCAATATCTCCTCTCTAGCAAATAGAACCTCGATAAAAAAACATGCTGATAAGCGGAGACGTGCAGCCCCTGTATTTCAACTGGGTGATAAGGTCTGGTTAAGCACAAAACATATCTGCCAGAAGGTAGCTTCTATGAAACTGGCACCTAGGTTTATTGGCCCTTATAATTTGGTAGCCATATTAACCCTGTTGCTTATCATCTTGATTTACCCCTGACCTTTCAAATCCCTAAGGTGTTTCATGTCTCTTTATTAAAGCCTCTGACCTGTAATAGGTTTACCAGTCATATTGTTGCCCCTTCATCAGTGCAAGTGGAGGGTAGGATGGAATACGATATCCGATCTCTTCTTGATTCTCCTTTCTCTCATGGTAAATTGCAATATGTGGTGGATTGGAAAGGCTATGGTCCTGAAGACGTCTTGAGTTGACAGTTACGATGTCCATGCTCCTCGTCTTCTCCGTTCTTTCCGTTCCCGTTTTCCATCTCGTTCGGGGCCCTTCCGCCTGGTGGGTGGTTCTGGAAAGGGGGGTTCTGTCTGGGTGCCTTCTGTGATGACCAGGGATGTCCCCCATTGTACTCACCTCTTACAGGAGGAGAAGGATCTTCTCCAGCATCCCTCTTCTTTCAGGCAGGCTGCGATAGCCCGCTCCGTTTTATGATGCGGTGCGATTGCGTCGACGTCATGATGCTAATGACGTCATGTCCTGCCAAAATGTACTCCTTTGACCCAGCTTTAGTATTCTTGTTTACCTTGATTTCTGTACTTCTTGACCTCGGCTTGACTCTGACTAGTCTTTGTTCTTCTAACATTAGTCCGGCCATTCTAAGGTCCGGTATACGTTACCTTTTGTCTACATTCTACGTGTTGCATCCCATTCCATTCCTGACAAATAGTGGCATGGTAGGGATGAGTATGACAGGATTAAAGGGGTTAATGTGACAGGGTAAGTGTGGCATAATTGTGGGGCTGTAAGTATCACAGGGTTAGTGTGAAGGGTGAATGTGGCATGGTTGGAGGAGGGAGTGTGACAGGATTAAGGGAAGGTTAATGTGACCGTGGGAGTGTGGCAGAGTGTGATGGGATTAGAGGCATTAATGTGACAGGATAAGTGTGGCAGGGTTGGGGGGAGAGTGTGACAGAGTGAGAGAAGGTGAATTTAGAATTAGGGGGTTAATTTGACTGGGTGAGTGTGGCAGAGCGAGGGAAGGTGCGGGTGTGACAGGATTAGGAGTGGTTAATGTGAGTGTGGATAGGTGAGGGGGCTAAAAAATGGGGGGTGACAGTGTGTGAGTGGTGACAATGTGTGGGGAGGCTGACAGTGTGTGAGAGTATGGTGCCACCACATTGTGGGGGATGACTGTGCGTGTGAGGCAGGGTGACATTGTGTGTGTGTGGGGGGGGTGACCCTGTGAAGGACAGTGGGTGATCCTGTAAGGGACAGTGGGTGACCCCTTGAGGGACAGTGGGTAACCTTATGTTGGACATGGGTGAAACTGTATCACTGTATGGGATGAGGGTGACACTGTGTGGGATGGGAGTGACACTCTGTGAGATGGGGGTGACACTGTAAGGAAGGGAGTGACACTCTGTGAGATGGGGGTGACACTGTGAGGAAGGGGAGTGCTATAGTGAGGGAGGGGAGTGTTAGTGTGAGGGAGGTGGGTCTTAGTGTGAGGGAGGTGGGTGATCGTGTGTGGGAGGGGGTAAAACTGTGAGAGAGTGTGTAATACTGTGGGGGGAGTAGGGTGATGGTCTGGGAGAGGGGTTAATACTGTGAGGGAGGGTGTAATACTGTAAGTAAGGGAGATGTATAAGAGGGTGCGATATGTGGGGGGTGGGATATTGTGAAGGAGGTGATAATAGAGTGGGGGGATACTGGGAGGGAGAGGGTAATACTTTGAAGGAGTAGTTCCTGAGAGGGAGGGGTTATAATGTGAGGGGGATATTAGAAGGGAGGGGTTGATGGTGTGAGGAAGGGGGTGATGGTGTGAGGGAGGGGAGATGATACTGTGGGGAGGGGGGTAATGCTGTGAAGGGGTATTCTGCGGAGGGGATACTGGGAGGCACGGGGTTAATACTGGGAGGGAGGTGGGTAATATTATGGGGGTGGGATACTGGGAGGGAGTTGGTGATAATGTGAAGGAGGGGAAAACTGTGAGGGAGGGGGGAGATAGTGTAAAAGAGGGGGGATACTGGGAGGAAATGGATTGAAAATATAAAAGAGGGAGGGATTGAAAGTGAAAACGGGGGGAATGGGAGGGAGGGGGTTAAAGGTGGGAAAGAGGGGGTACTGGGAGGGAGGGGGTTGAAGGTGTGAAAGAGCGGGTACTGGGAAGGATGGGGTTAAAGGTGTGAAAGAGGGGGGATTACTGGGAGAGGGAGGGGAGAAAAAGAGGGGGATACCGGGAGGAAATGATTGAAAATATAAAGAGGAGGGATTAAGTGAAAACGGGGAATGGGAGGAGGGGGCTAAAGGTGGGAAGAGGGGGCACTGAGGAGGGGTTGAAGGTGAAAGAGCCGGGTACCAAGGATGGGGTTAAAGGTGAAAGAGGGGGATACTGGGAGGGAGGGTTTGAAGGCTGCAGGGGGGATACTGGGAGGGGATGGGGTTAGCAGAAAGAAGGGGAGATACTGGGAGGATGATGGGGAGAGGGTGATAGAATGAAAGTGTGGGATACTGGGAGGGGGTGAATGTGTTAAGGAGGGGAGAAACTGGGAGGGAAGGGGTGATAGAGTGAAAGAGGGGGGATACTGGGAGGGGGTGAAGGTGTGAGGGAGGGGGGTGTTGGTGTGGAAGGGGGAGTGTACTGGGAGGGAAGGGGGTGATTAAATACCATTTTTTCCCCTGGTGGTCCAGTGTGGGCTCCCAGGCGGTCCAGTGTTCAGGATATCCGGTCTGCAGCTCCGCAGTGTGCAGAGCTGCAGACCATGTATCTTGCGAGACCTGCGATGGGTGCTCTCTGGCTGGGCCAGGCAGGCTGGAGGGACCTCGCACCCGGCGACATACTGAGCAAGCCGCCGGGTCCCCTTCTGGTGTCGGGTCCTCGGTCATTAACCAAGAACCCAACACAGTCTGCCCTGAGGCGGTTCAGGCAGCCCAAAGGCCCCAAATAGCGCGTGGCCATAGGCAGCCGCCTAAGCCGCCTAATTAGAGTCAAAATGTTTAAGAGGTTCTATAATTGTGAGCATTTTTTATTTTTACTTAACTTTGCTGATTTACACAACAATATTTTACTATTATATATTTCTTTGTTTGTCTCCATTTATATACTAACATTCATGCTGCATAACCTGATAACCTTACCTGATGGTAAGCTTTGATTTGTTAGCATGAAGTGCCGAAGTTGCCGAAGTTCAGAAGTGTCAAAGTGCTGAAGTGCCGAAGTTTCGAAGCACAGTTTTGCCTAAGTACTAATATACTTACCCAGTGGAAGAATGAAAAATGTTACACTGTATACAAGTTTAAATAAAAAGTATACAAACATAGCCAGGATTCAGCTGTAAGCATTTGCAACACTTACACTTACCGTGGGAATTAGAGAGTTATCTACTAAGCGACTGCAAGAGAAGTCCCGAAATGCCGAAGTTCCGAAATTCCAAAATGCCGAAGTTCCGAAATTCCAAAGTGCCGAAGTTCCGAAGTTGCTGAAGTGCCGAACCGAACCGAAGTGCCGAAGCTCCCCATGCACATGCCTAGAGGTGGGTAATATCATCTAAATCATATAAAGCACTTGTGTTTGTTCACTGTTTAAAGGACCACTATAGGCACCCAGACCACTTCAGCTCAATTAAGTGGTCTGGGTGCCAGGTCCATCTAGGGTTAACCCTGCGTGCTGTGAACATAGCAGTTTCAGAGAAACTGCTATGTTTACATATGGGTTAATCCAACCTCTGGTGGCTGTCTCATTGCATTGCGTTGATCATTTGGTGGAAGAGGGAGGAGAGTCCCCAGCGCAGAGGGAGCCAGGTGCTGGAGAAAGGTAAGTGTTTAACCTCTTCCTCCCACGTCAGCCCAGCGGGAGGGGGGCCATGGGGGGGGGGAAGCTATTAATACTATAGTGCCAGGAAAACGAGTTTGTTTTCCTGGCACTATAGTGGTCCTTTAATTTATAAAAGTGTTAATTTCCACTGAAATATGCACTGTTTTCAAAATGAAAAAAAGGGGACACACTCTTTACACAAAAAACTGTAGTGGTTTGGGGCGTGGGCAAGGGCTGTGGTGGAGAACCAGGGACTGTAGAGGGGGGAAAGGGCAGTAGTGGGGGGGACAGAGGCTCTAGTGGGGGGGCATGCGCTGTAGAGGTGGAGCAGGGGTTCTTAAGTGGGCAGGGGCTGTAGTGAGGGAATAGAAGCTATAGAGGTAAAACTGCAGCTGTTGTGCAGGGGACATGATCTATAGAAGGGGACAGGAACTGTAGAGAGAGGCACAGGGGCTGTAGAGGGGGGCAGGGCCTGTGGTGGGGGAGGGCAGGAGCTATGGGAGAGGGGAGGAACAGGGAGGAACTATAGTGGTGGGATAGGGCTGTAGAGGTGAGACAGGAGCTGTACTGGTTGGACTGGAGCTGTAGAGGAGGATACATGGGCTGTAGAGGGAAGGACAAGGGCTGTAATGGGGGGACAGGGGCTGTGGGTGAAGGACAGGAGCTGTAGAGGGGGGACAGGGACTGCTTGAAAAAGTTAAAATAACAAACATGTATTCCCCCCCTCCCTGAGGCTTACCTTGGGCCAAGAAGGGTGAAAACTTATCCCTGGTGGTGAGATAGGAGCTGAAGCCTGGAGATCAAGACAGGTCCGCTAGGGAGTCTGGAGTAGAACACTAGTAGTCATGCCCTCCTCCTGACATCTTCAGAAGAGGCCAGCCGACTTTACTGCCAAGCTGATGTCTGAGAGTGAGATAGGTTGCAGTGATTTGAAAAATTAGAGTCCTAGGCCAGAGGCAGGGAAATCTGATATTTGCACAGGCCTGCTCTGGCGCCCTAGGGTGGCAACCTGTGCCACCTTATGAACGTGCCGGCACTGGTCACAGACATTGGATGTGTGGCTAGGGCTGCATAAACAGAAACAGAAAGGGATTTAACTCATAAATGGCAGATAAATAAGCAGTAAGATTGCAGGGGCATGATCCATACACAAAAACTGCTTTATTAAGTTGTATTGGTGACTATAGTATCCCTTTTATTACTGTGTGCTTTGAAAAATATATATTGGGTCCTGCATCTATCTGCATCTATTGCAAAACACAAGGTAATACTTTATAAAATGCACTTTATTTTACATTTCTCCGTGAAGAGCAGTCTGCATACAAAGGTGTTGTTTTGTCCCTATTTAATGAAATATTTGTGCATCCCATGTTTCAAATAAATCTTACATTTCAATTTCAATAACCACACAATCCATGGTACTCATGTTCTTTATTTACAACGTGCTCGCGGTAATACGGTTAATAATATCACATTTTCATGGTCAGCCTATCTTCTTGTTGTAATTAATCCAAATCATCATTTATCAAGGCTTGTTACAAGGAATCACAAAAGATATCTTCGGTCCAAAGAATATATCTCTAAAAAGAAAAGGCAAAAAACCTTCAATAAACAATACAGAAATAAATGTAACTAAAAAAAAATAAAAATGTTTCTTGAATGATTATTCTAAATGTTATTCACAGTGTCCATGATTTATCATAGAATTGTATTAATGTTAGTAATTCTGAGCAGAGGAATTACAGAGTTTAGTACTTTAGAGTATAAGGAAATATACATGGATATTCTCAATCTGTTGGTTAAAGAAATAGAACAGAGCTTGCATTGTTAGTGTATACTGACTCTCCTCTGCTGCTTTCACAGCCAAAAGGCCTGGTTACAATTGGCAGGAAAATCCAGAGGTCTCTGAGAAACATATTTTCCTGCTCCAGTATCAGAATAGCATAATCTAACCAACCAATTAAAGGGACACTAAAAGCACCCTGACCACATCACCTATTTGAAGCTGTCTGGGTGCAATGTCCCTGTCCCCTTCGCCCTGCAGCTGCAAACATTACAGGTTTAAGACTGTCTCTAGAGCCTGTCTACCAAACAGCCACTATAGGTGCTTCCTGACCTTTCACAGAGTTTCATTGTCACTGGATGTCCTCAAGCTTTGCATGAGGACATCCAGCGTTTTCTAAAAATCAGCATCTTCTGAAATCTACACTTAAAATTTTTTTAGGGGTCGGAAGTGTTAACTTTTTTTTTTGTTCTCCCTTTCCTGTTAAATGTATATTAAAGATTTAGCAGTTTGGCATCACAGCTCAGTTTAGTCCTGGCATGGCCAGGGCACACTATGCATTAGGGAAGGAGTAGCAGAAACATTGGGGGAGATTTACCAAAATATTCAGAAAAGTGTGTCTTTATATTTGGTCCCTAATCTATAACACTATATTTGTATGCTATTATTATTTTTTACCCATTGGTCCCTAATCTGTTTGTATTTATTAAATTTTTTTTAAAAATGGTATAAAATTCTTTAATCTAATCTGTACCTAAATTCCACAATTTTCGCACAAAAGTCTATTTTTAAAGAAATTCTGACAAGTTTAGAGTGTTGGAAATCAGCGAAGTGAAACAGAAAACTTTTCTGGCAAGAAAAGTGGGGAAAATATTGATGAATAGTGATGTCCCGAACGGTTTGCCGAACCGTTCGCGAACGGTTCGCCACGAACGGTTCGCCACGGACTCATCATTGAGTAAACTTTGACCCTGTACCTCACAGTCAGCAGACACATTCCAGCCAATCAGCAGCAGACCCTCCCTCCCAGACCCTCCCACCTCCTGGACAGCATCCATTTTGAAGCTGCATTCTTAGTGAGCTGTCCAGGAGGTGAGAGGGTCTGGGAGGGAGGGTCTGCTGCTGATTGGCTGGAATGTGTCTGCTGACTGTGAGGTACAGGGTCAAAGTTTACTCAATGATGAGTCCGTGGCGAACCGTTCATGGCGAACCGTTCATGGCGAACCATTCGTGGTGAACCGTTCATGGCGAACCGTTTGTGGCGAACCGTTCGGGACATCACTATTGATGAATCATCTGTTGTGTGTCTGATAAAATGACATATATTAAAAAAAATTACAACTAAGGCTTAAAGAAGGAACTAAATTGTAAAAAAATAATAATCTGATTTAATAAATGAATAAAACAGAGATAAGGGCCAAAACAAGGTGCAAACTGTCTGCGGCCCTTTGATAAATCACCCCTGTTGTATCTGCTTATCCTCCTTCTTCCATTAATGACAGAAAATGGCATAACTTATAACACCGATTAACAAGGAAACAGATGGAGGTGCTCTGTTAATTGATAAGTCAGTGGTGCAGATATCTAAATTTAATTAAGTTTTTTCAGACCTCAAACACGTATTTGTTAAATATAGGGAATAACTAACCATATCATACCATACCCTATATCTACATCCTTAAAAGTAACAGTTACCCTTTTGGGCAATGAATCTGGCTTTCTCTTTAACATATCTTTTCAATATGAAAACACAATATGCATAGGTAGCACTTTTTATATTTTTACTGCTCTGAGTTCAAAATGTATCTTATGCTAAATGAAAGAATTCATTAAAACACGAGACAAACATTATTACAGCATTTAGTAAAAGAATGGCAGATCATTTTCGTAAAATGCATGTCATCTTGCAAAATCATATTTGTGTCCTCAGTCGGATAAAATTTATTTAAATACTTTGGCACCTATAAAATTATATTCTTATGAAGCAGTCAAATGTTACCAGAGCTATCAAAAAGAATATTTTAAGTAACATTATATCCTGTCTGATGAAAAGAACTGTGCAAAATTAGATTTAAGATTTGTGACGACGTTCTGAATATTTTGCCATTATGAATTTGCCTCTGAAAATAGAAGAATAAACTATTTCAGAGAGAAATGCGGGAATAGTTATTACCAGTAAGGAGTTATGCTTTGCACCGTCTGGGGATGCATAATATGTTTAAGTAATGTTACTTTTCAGCCTGTTACATTTATTCACCCTTGTTTAGAACTGGTTGTATTTATTATCAGAAATATTTTATTGTTGTAAGTAAAATAGTAAAATATAAAGTAAAATATGAAGAAAGCAAGAGAGAAAATAGGTTAATTGAGTCTTCCTGTCAGGGTCTACTTCCCAACACTGTCCCCCTGATTTTTGTCAAACAGCAGGCTACCCATATCCCCAGAAACTGCTCCATCTTCAGCTGCACTGATTATTATTATTGCCATTTATATAGTGCCAACAGATTCCATAGCGCGTTACAATATTATGAGAGGGAGGATTTAACTATAAATAGGACAATTACAAGAAAACTTACAGGAACAATAGGTTGAAGAGGACCCTGCTCAAATGAGCTTACAGTCTATAGGAGGTGGGGTATAAAACACATTAGGACAGGAAATATCAATCAAATGAGGTAGGAGTGAAGCAGGGCTGGAGGAGAGAGTAAACTGCTGCCCTATAGGAAAGAGCAAGAGACAGGTGTGTAAGGTAGAGGTTACTCTGAGAGGCCATAAGTTTTTCTAAAGAGATGGGTTTTAAGGCACTTCTTAAAGGATTGAAGACTAGGGGAGAGTCTGATGGGGGTAGGCAGGCTATTCCATAGGAAGGGAGCCGCCTGCGAGAAGTCCTGCAAGCGCGAGTTGGCTGTACGGGTGTGAGCAGCAGTCAGGAGGTGGTCACAGGCAGAGTGGAGGGAACGAGGAGGGGTATACCTATGGATCTGTGAAGAGATATAAGAGGGGCTAGAATTGTTCAGGGGTTTATATGTATGTGTTAGCACTTTGAATTGACTCCTATAGGATACAGGAAGCCAATGATAATACAGAGTTTACACTTCTACATCAGCAATGTCAATTTCAGCCAACCTGAATGATGGTTGTAGGTTGAGAATGCTGGGTGTAGGTTTAGCACACCACTTTGAACCAATCACCACCATGATAGCTCAGCATGGTGGTGGTGAGAGCAATGGCTGCTGTGTTAGTCACAGGGGCACTGTGATTTGAGTTTACTGATTGGTTGTTAGGGATGTTAGAGCTAAATTGATAATTAAAATCATTCTTTTATAAGACAGTGTGATTATTTTCTGATGTATGGGCAGCTGTCTCATCTAATGAGGAATCAAAGACTTGTGTGACAAAGTGGAAGTATGTATATATGCATGATATAACCTTACCAATAGGTCATAGATATAATCATTAGTTCTGAAATATGCTCTAGCAGTCACAGTTTGCTGCAGGCCTGTTGTGCATCATTATAGCCATTATGAATAACCTGAAAAATGTTTTACTGTTGCTATCACAACTGAAACAACTACTTCCTAAGAATAAAATGTTAAAAAGTAACTGGCGGACAAATTAAAGATATTTTAACAAAAGAAAAATAAACAATTAGTCATTCTTACTTTGGACAGCAGAGCAATTCATTAAAATTACAGTAACAGACCATCTCACATCTGTTCCCTTCCCAAAACAGGTCCTGGAGATTTTCATCCAGGGATCTAAGATGGTCCAGTCCCTCTGGGATGTTATGACAATTTCGATCCCTCAGGATTTTCTTGTAACAGGAAAGTCGACCAGTGGGGGTTGAAATTACTCCCAAGACGGCAACCATGAAAACAACAACCTGTACAATCTTCATATTTCCCTGTATATAAAATGTTTTATCTGAAAAAAAAAAATTAATTATTCACTGTAAGGGCTTTAGATAACTTCACTTATTTTGGACATTTAGAAGAAGTATGCACTTTACATTTGATTACATTTTATATATTATGTTGCAATTTAATGTATACATCTCTTTAAATAGACACAATTACTTTCTTAGTACTTTATTGGTCCTGACATCAATTTAGGCCAGCCGCAGGACTGCACGTGCAAGTCACTTGATACACTACATATACTGAAACAGGTATTTTGTTAAGAAGATTCTCACATTTATTGAAAATTTCTAGTGTCCAAAGTAAAAAATTATATATAATCACTTACATGACTAAAGTTTTGTGCAAATGTCATGTGTCAGTGATTTTTGTATTAAAACTTGCAATAAGGGGGCGTGGCCTGACCGGGTATGGAGTGAGACGCATCTCCCTGCAGCTCCTAGGCCCCAGCTCACTACGGCACCGATAAACGAGCACGAATTGACCCTAGATGGGTAAGACAAAGAGGCTACTCACCCCTGGCCCCTCACAAATGGGCTCACCGAGCCGCACAGCGGGTCCCATGGACGGGTACCTCGGAACGCCGCGAGACATGCGGGCGCACCAGGCCGCGGCCAAAATGGCGCCGCCCTCACCGGACGCCAGCAGCTCAGACAGCCCAGCAACAGGCCCAGTCAGAGAGGAGTCACTGACCCAAATTGCAGCAGACTTGGCCACAATATCTGCGAACATGATGTCCAGGGCAGATAAGACGGACCTGCTCGCTGAAATTAGGGCAGTAATCAGAGAGGAGGTCATGGAGGTGAGGAGAGACCTGACAGCACTAGAACGCAGAGTGGAGGAACTAGAGGCAGAACGTGCCCAAATAATACAACACCGCCAAGCCACAGACACAGCCACTACTAGACAAGGCAATGTCCTGCTGGAGTTAAGAAGGAATCTGGAAGATTTGGACAACCGCGGACGGAGGAACAACATCCGCGTCAGGGGACTCCCTGAATCAGCAGGGGAAGCACTACCAGAGCTCCTGCTGGGCCTGTTCACACACATACTAGGGGACAGAGCCCCGGCAGACTTTGGAATAGAACGTGCACACAGAGCCCTGCGCCCCGTGACCGCTGAGGGACCGCCTAGAGACGTAATCTGCTACCTGCTCTCCTACTCGTTAAAGGACGAAATCATGAGGGAAGCAAGAAATCAGAAGAACCTCACCTACATGGACGCCCAGATTTCCCTATATCAGGATCTCTCAGTACTCACCCTGGAAGCGAGAAGGGCACTGAGACCGCTAACCACCCTGCTTAGAGAGCGGCGGATACAATACAAATGGGGATTCCCCTTTAGCTTACAGGCAAAGGTGAGCAACATATGGCATATCATACGCTGGCCAGCAGACGTGCCACGCTTCCTCCGAGCCGCGAACCTCCCAGCAGTGACAGTCCCAAATTGGGTCCTGGAGAGACAGCCGCAACGCCCAAACGCTCCAAATATCAGGCCGGGTACGGGCCTTACAGGAGCTGGGTTCCGCAGAGGCGGCCCGGATAGCCATGAAGAATAGCAGATTCAAGAGCCCTGGAGGGCAGCGACCGGCGCACCCACCGACGGAGGTACACCCCAGTTTTCACACCCCCATTTAACTCCAGAAACCACGCCGCAGGGAGACAGACTACCGGACCGCTCCCCCAAGGTTGATGCGGAGAACAACCTCCGTAAGCAGAAGCTGACACACCGCTGGGTATGTACTTACACCCCTACCCTGGGCCCGTAGCAGTTACGCACAAGTCAGAGTTGCTGGGACTTGAGACAATGGAGTGCCACATTTTTTTTTTGGGGTGGTGGGATCTGTGGGGATCGGGTACCACCCGGGGACGATGACGACATGGAGGGGGTCCCCCCAGATTTATAAAGACTCGGGCTCCGGCCCATAGAATCCCCCCTTTGGGTGGTTGGGGTAGGGGGGAGGCATTGGCGGACTCCAACTACCTGAGTGGCACCCCAAGATAAAGTCTGGACAGTCCCATGATGTCCCAGAGGGTCCCGAGATTCAAGCTCCGCCCATCCCCCGAAGGGACTAGCAAGCCAACTAGCAGGAGAGGACACCCAGCTGGAATAGGGAGAAGAGGAGGGGGGTGTGGTCCCTAGGGAGGGGGGAGCGGGGAATGTCAGAGGCGGTGGTTTGGTCTTTACAGTTGTACTTGTTATTGTTGTTGATAAAGTTCACATGCTCCATACCATTCCTAGAGGGGCACACACCTACACAAGGGGGCTGGTAACACACCTGAGCCCAAGGGGCCGGGGAGGTTAGGCCGGGGCGGGGACACCCTGAGAGGCCGGACCCGTTAGGTAGCTACAGGGCCCGAATACTGACTAGACACGCATTACTTAGACCCTCAAGAACAGAGAGGAAAATGGACAATGGGGGGGGTACCCTCGTACTACTTCACCATACCCGCAGGGAAAATTCCAATTAAACAAAACCAGTGGGCTGGGTGCCGTGAGAGCAGTGCGATTCATACGACGGTTCACCCCAGAACGGACGACCCCCGTACCTCACGTGACGGACTCACACTGTACAAACCCTCGGGGGCTACTCTGGTGACATACCTCGAAGGGAATAGACACCGGGGGGCGACTGACCCCGAGGCGAGTCGTAGTCACCTATACCCCGACCCACTAACCTTCCCTGACTTTGACTGGACTACTCTACTTCCCCCCCCCGAACCTCACCCCGTGATATTCTGACATACCCATACCCCTCCCCACGAACAGCTAGGGAGGGGCACTAACTATGTGCCGGCACCGCTTAACCTGTGGTCGAACAACGTTAGAGGTCTAAACGTACCCGCGGTCTCAGCTACTCAGTACTCTCTGGGCGGAACGCATCTCGGTGGCGTTTTTGCAGGAAACGCATCTTAAAGGCGTGGAGGCCCCCACCCTGAAAAACAGAAGGTTCCCCACAGGCTATTACTCCAACCATGCCGACCAAAAAAAAGCGGGGGTGGCGATCCTCTTTTCACATACGGTCCCGTTCATATGCACAGAGCAACGAATAGATCCAGGGGGTAGATACTTATTCATCAAAGGAACCATAGCACAACACCCTTACACATTCGCATGCCTGTATACCCCGAACCGTAACCAACATGTCTTCCTAAATAAAACACTCACTTTGCTCAACAAGTTCAGAGAGGGCTTACTAATTATGGCAGGAGATCTTAACACTCCGTTAGACGCCAGATTAGACACCTCAAGGGGAGAAAGCTCAATACCAGGTCATTGCATACGCGCAGTCGGGAGAGCTCTGACAAGGAGTGGATTGGTGGATTGCTGGAGGGTGGCGCATCCTGACGGCAGGGACTATTCCTATTACTCAGCTGTACATCAGAGATACAGTCGGATTGACTATATCTTTATGGCACAGGAAGCCCTGACATTAGTCCGCAAGGCTAGCATAGGCCCGATTGCGGAGTCCGATCATGCCCCGGTCTCAGTCCAGATCCAATCCCCACTACACAAACCAGCGGAAAGGCACTGGAAGCTAAATGAGAATATGCTGCTTAACCTGGGTGACACTGACCCAGTTAGGCAAACTCTAACACAATACTTCGACACTAACACAACCCCCGATGTCTCGCCCTTGCCGGTGTGGGAAGCACATAAGTGTGTAGTACGGGGACACTATATTAAGGTCTGTTCGCAATGGAAGAAAGAACATACACGACAGCTGACAACATTAAACACTCAAATAGCCAACCTAGAGCAAGCTCATAAACAAAGTCAGAACGAGGACACGTTCCTCCATCTAACAGCGCTCCGGAGACAGAGAAGGGACATATTAGCTCAGGGTCTCCTACGCACCCTTAGAAAATCGGCCCGGTTCTTTTTTGAACACTCGGACAAAAGTGGCAGACTGCTAGCCCGCCAGCTCCGTGATCGTCGGATGGCGAGCCACATACACAAAATTAAGCCCAGTGACAAAGCTGAAACCCGAATGCCGGACGGAATTCAGCGTTCGTTCGTAGACTACTACACGGACCTATACAATATCCCCCAACCCAACACTGACGCTGCCCGTGCACGACAGACCTGCCAAATTACTGAATTCCTGGAACAAAATATAGATAACAAGCTGACCGCGGAAATGCGGGACGACTTAGACCAACCCCTCACTGTGGAGGAGCTGGCGGCGGCCCTGAAAATCTCCAAATCCCATAAGGCCCCAGGACCTGACGGACTGCCCCTGATGTACTTACGTACGTTCAAGGACATCTTATTACCAAATCTCTTACTGGGCCTCAACTCCATACTGGAGGGGGGCGCTTCCCCTCAGACACGTTAGCAGCCATAGTTACTGTAATACCAAAAGAGGGCAAGGACCCGACGAACTGCGCGAGCTGCCGCCCCATATCGCTACTAAACGCAGACCTGAAACTATTCGCAAAAGCCATTGCCCTGAGAGTTGCAAAACACCTCCCCCACTTGGTACATTCGGATCAGGTTGGGTTTATCCCGGGCAGGGAAGGGAGAGACAACACGATTAAGGCCCTGAACATCCTACACATAGCACGAGCGCGCCGTAGAGAACTTCTACTACTTTCCACCGATGCCGAAAAGGCTTTTGACAGGGTGAGCTGGGCGTATCTGAGGAGTACCCTTACACACATGGGATTCGGCCCCAACATACTGGCCTGGGTGCTCTCACTGTACACGTGCCCCACTGCGAAGATCCGCATTAACGGGGCACTATCAGCCCCTTTCCCAATCAGGAATGGCACCCGCCAGGGATGCCCGCTTTCCCCCCTCCTGTTTGCCCTCTCCCTGGAACCATTTCTGGGGGCGGTCAGACGGAATGGGGGAATCTCTGGATTCGGCCTTGGTCGTCACGAATACCGGGTAGCCGCATATGCAGACGATATGCTGTTCTTTCTTACACAGCCGTTGATCTCACTGCCCAACCTCCTAGCATCTTTCCGAGAGTTTGGGGCACTCTCTAATCTTAAACTCAATACGGATAAGTCCGAGGCCCTCCACCTCCCACCCCCTACAGGCCCCCCCAACACACCTTCACACCCAATACAAGTTTAAATGGTGCGAAACTAAATTAAAATATTTGGGCATATGGCTGACCAAGAACCCGTCCCAATTATACCACCATAACTATCACCCACTCCTACTCTCACTTCAGACGGACCTTAAGAAATGGACCCCATATTACATCTCCTGGTTCGGACGTATCAACGCGATTAAAATGAACGTGTTACCCAGGATACTTTACCTATTCCAAACAGTGCCAATTACTCTCCCCAGAGCCTTTTTTAGCTCTATGACGACTGCCATCCGCAGATTCGTTTGGAACTCTCGCCCAACCCGAATTAAAAAATCAACCCTGGAACTACCAAAATATTACCGCGCCGCACACCTGCACAGACTGACGGACTGGCACGCACAACACCCATTAAAACAATGGGTGACCATTGAGCTAGAACAAACTGATAGAAAAATACCCTCTAGGCTTTGGTTACACACTGCCACATACTCCGACCTGCACACCGAGAACCCACTAATCAACGCCACGCTCCGAGTGTGGATGGCTATACGCTACCGACTGCAACTCACAAGCTCCCCTAGCCCCTTAACACCCATCACGCATAACCCAGACCTGGCCGATGCTCTAACCCCACAAGACCTAGCCGGCCTCCAGCAGGCAGACTGGATACACCTACACCAATGGCTCGACACTCAGGGACTTAAACCACTCAGAAACCTCTGCCCCGATAGACCACCGACGATACTCGAACAATTCAGATACCACCAAGTTAAGACGTACTTCTTATCCTTACATGGTCGAGGACACCTGACTAGACCCCTCACCAGCTTTGAACACCTGTGCGTACACCGAACACACGTACACAGAGGTATCTCCTCTATACATACCATACTCAAGACCCAAACTAACGAGGATGTGGTGCTCAAATTTAAGGATCATTGGGAGAGAGACTCGGGGGAAGTCCTTACTGTGCAAGACTGGGACAAGATCTACACTCTCACACATAAATGCTCTATCAGCTCCAGTACCAGGAGCTGAACTACAAAATTTTAACACGCTGGTACAGAACCCCAGACGTACTCAATCGCATGAACGTGGGTGCCCCGGACACCTGCTGGAGATGCGGCTTGCACACCGGCACGTACTTCCACATCTGGTGGCAGTGCCCCGAGATTACCACATTCTGGGAGAGGATCAGGGTAGAGATAAACAGAATCACAGGTGCGGAGCTACCCCTAGAACCCCTAACGATGCTATTACACCACACCCCCACACCCGTCAAGACATATAAGAAATCCCTCTTGCTGCCACTACTCAACGCGGCAAAGGCCCTTATCCCTGCAATGTGGAAACAGAAGGGGGCGCCTACCCTCCAGCAATGGGTGACAAGGGTGGAAGAGATCCACTCAATGGAATCCTTAACTGCAGACCTCCACGGTAGACAGGAGCAATGTGCACTGACCTGGTACCCTTGGGAAACATACCTAGCCAACAGATTAGCAAACCCAAACACGGCCGCCCAGAGGCCCGCAGTAAACCGACTCATACAGAGCTAAGCCACCCAGCTACTCCTCCCACCTAGGTCCCCTACCTCCAGACCCTTTCCCGAGACTGGACATTGGACTGAACCCCAACGATAGACTCTGACGAGCTCGTAACTGGGGCTTATCAATACACACACCCACTGTAATCACAGGTGCAAAATACACAGGAAACCGAGACCCAACCTAGAGCTGATACCGGCATGAAAACATCCCCTCCTGGCCACCTAGACTGATACCTAGAGTATCCTCCCATATGACAAACTATACCGATAGGCATACAAATATATACACCAACAACTGCCAACCCACAATAGTGGGGAACTTAACCTAAACCATCACACTTTGCTCTCACCCAGGCGACCAGTTGGCCTTGAATGTTAATAAGTGCTGAGTAGACTGGGGAGGAGTTAAGGCACTAAAGATATCTTTTCTCGCTACCGTGGCTCTATACCATGCCCAACAATATATATATATGTCAAGCGACAAAAAGTTCTCTGACACTGTTGGTATGAAACGTGAAATGAGTAATATAGCGTGTCAAAAAACTTACCCCCCACAGCAACCAGACTAGACACCGATTCACACCCTAAACGTAGAGCGCACACCATAGGTGCAACAAACTGCGCACTGTAGGCAAGTGGAGATACGAGACTAGAAACCTGACCTTAAATAATTCTACCTAATGCATGTGATGGAAACTATAGAAATATTGTTTGAGAAAACTGTTTTGAGAATGTTAAAACAATGGCTACGAATGTTGTTAAGCTATTCAGAAAACTGATGTTACAATTGACATTTTACCGTAACTACATCTTTCCTTGAAAAAATGATAAAAATCGAAAATAAAGATTGTCAAAAAAAAACTTGCAACAATGGAAGGATACAATAACCTTAAGAATAAGAGAAAGGTTTTTGATTGGGAAGCTCTTGCATAAATTGAAAGGCACAATCCCATCAAAAGGACTGAATTACATTTGATTTCACAATGTTCAAATATAACCAACTTAAATCAAGACAATTATAATATATACTTTCTGTATGGATTGACATAGTTGTGGACTATTACCGCCACAACTATGATCCATAGGCCAATGTCATAAGGATAGCAGATAATCTAGAGAAACAATTCTTACTTAAAGGGTTACTCTAACGACCATGACTACTTCTGCTTTAGAGGTGGCCATGGTGGTACTAATCTGTAAATGCAGAGTTTCTGTTTGAAATGCTGAACATACAGAAATATGTGCTCTTTTGTGTTGGGGCTAGTTGCACCCCGGGCACATGCCAGCTAGACTCTGTTCCAAGCTGCATAATGTCAATTATGTGCAAAAATTATGTCTGTCTGAATGCTGACGAAAGACCTAATGAGCTTTTCCCCTCCCTGCCACTGTCATCTTTTTTATTTATTATGTCCACCCACTCCCCCTCCTACCGGACTCAGAATGCACACATGCGCTCTGAGCTGGAGAGAACAGTCCAGTCAAATGCTTCTCTGTGACTGCCGTATAAAGGGCTTAAAGGGACACTCCAGGCACCCAGACCACTTCTGCCCATTGGAGTGGTCTGGGTGCCAACTCCCACTACCCTTAACCCTGCAACTGTAATGATTGCAGTTTTCATAAACTGCAATATTTACCTTGCAGGGTTAACTCCTCCTCTAGTGGCTGCCTACTAGACAGCCACTAGAGGGCACTTTCGGGTTTATAGCACACATTTTGTATGCTACAGCGTCGCTGGACGTCCTCATGCTATGTGAGGACCTCCAGCGTCGCTGAAATCCCCATAGGAAGGCATTGAAAGCATTTTCAATGCTTTCCTATGGGGAGGTTTAATGAGCATTAGGTCTCCCCCGCCACCGGCCGCACATGCGCAATAGGTCTCCCCCGCTGACGTCAGCAGGGGAGGAGCGTGGGCGGACATCGGCGCTGGATACAGGTAAGCCACTGAAGGGGTTTTAACCTCTTCAACAACTTGGGATGGGAGGTGGGAGTGAGAGGGGACCTGCAGTGCCAGGAAAATGGTTTGTTTTCCTGGCATTGGAGAGTCCCTTTAAATGTGATGGAAAGATGCCAGATGAGCAGAGCCATGGTCTGGAAGCCACAAAGAAGTCAGAGAGTAACCAAATAGGTACTAAATTGGTTAATTATGGTGAACTGTAGCTGAAGGAGAGCAGGTAACACAAGTGCAACAAATTTGCTTGAGACTCAATTGAGCACTGATTATCTAGTGACCTGGGTTTAAATAGGGATTAGTGGTGGATGCTGGAAATTATTAAATACTTTGTGGAAGATTTTCTGATAGCAACACAGTGCTTTGATAAAAGCTGTCTGGTTTTTTTTTAGAATTGACTTACATTAAAGGGACATTCTAGACCCCTAAAACACTTTAGCTTTCTGAAATGCTTTATGTGTGAAGAGTGTTTCCTCTTTTTTTCATTTTACAAAAAGTGCAGATTTCAATAGAAATTTACACTTTTATAATTTAAGCTTTCAAGGATATAGCCGGTCTTGTTACTTCCGGGTTTGCTTATCTGAGTGGAGCTAAACTCAAAAGACAGCTAATGCTTAGTGCACCTGCCTTGAAAAGACTTCATATTGAGCTGTATTGGGAAGTCTGTGATTGGACAGCCACAGAACGTCTGTGCAGGGTTAGAAGGGAAGAGCTTGCAAATGCAGCAGACAAGAGAATGGCAGGTGTTTTACATTCTGGTTTTAGATATAACCCAAATAGGAATAAATTCTCAACAATAAAACTCAAATGAAACAGATTATTGTGCAATATGTCACTTTAAGTGCTTATCCTTCATAAATGTTTAAAATGACTAACTCACACTTTTCTGAGCTATTTAGAGCTCTGATTTTTTTTCGCTTGGATGGTACAATCCCTGTCTCAGGATGTATGAAGATCCTCCAGATGGTGTACGGTAGTGTTCCAATATATAAACAATAAAACAGAAGTGGAAACTTTAATGGTGTAGTATGCCAATCTCAGAAGTAACAATAAAAAACTCAGTATCCTACTTACAACTTATAGAGCAAAAACTTGCTCTGGTGTTGTACAGCTTTGGTGGTATAATCCCCACCTGTGATGTGCAGGAACCAGGAAAAGAGTCAGCAGCACAAAATTATAAAATAGGACTTAAAATATATTTAACAAATTACTTTATTAAGTTAAAATATATTGTAAAATCCATATGGAGCACAATATTGTCAATAAAAAAACAATAGGGGGCAGCAATTTCACACTTAGCGTGTTTCTCCCAGCAGGGATTCCTCAGAAATGTGATAAATATATATATATAAATACAAGCAAGCTGCAAGGGAATTTGTTTTATATGTTAGATTTGTGTAGTTACCAGGATTTAGGATTAACAGTTAACCTTAAATTTTGTTGATAATAGAAATTCCCTTTTGCATTATTAGCTGTTGCAGGATTTATTGTTGACTGAATTGTCATGTTTTTTGTTCTAACCAGCATTGACTTTAGTAGTGGAAGCTATGACTGGACCATTTTGTCTAAATCTCTTTGAGTAGTGGATCAGCCAAATTCAAGGTTGACAGCCCGAACAGGGCTGGAGAACACTGAGGGGCCAAATGTGCTGACCTATACTAAGCAATAATGGGCTAGCATACAGATACTCTGTACAAGTCAAGCTGCTATGGCTATACATTATTCATATTTTTCTCTAGAGTGTTGCATTAATAGCATTAATGACTCTCTGTACAGCGGTAGAGCAGCATAGCAATCAAATATGAAATACATTAATAACAAATATGTAGTGATTATAATTTATTAGGAACCAATCCACATAGATTGGGCATTTATCATTTTAACTGCAGCATATAGAAATTACATTTACAATCTTGAAATTATTTTTATCACTTGTGCAATTGGTATGATTTTAGGTGTTTCATTTCTCGGAACGTGCGAAAGGAGGATTTGATGACATAGTGTAATAAAAATGCACAGACGTTTTAAAGCAGTGCCCTATTAAGAAGACTGTGGGATTCAAGTATCTTTTTTAGTGTTCTGGGAATTATATTTCCTTCCTTTTTGTTCTTTTTGAGTACATGTTCAGGGCAGATGATGATGACTTAAAGGCATTGTTTGACAATATGTCACAGCCAGGTCATTATATGTTTTGCAGAATTATTTTTTGGTGATACTCTGATTTTTATGTTTCTTTAAGATCAGTCTGGTTCTAGCGTTCATTGTGACTTGCTAATTGTAATTATGAGTCAGTATTCTTCACTAAAGTCTCGAAGAGATCAATGCAAATCCAAGCACCTTAAGATCAATAGACACTCGTCCGTCTAGTAGAGAATTATGGGTGTTGAAGTATAATAGCTGGAGGCCTGCCATGTGACACCATTACACTAGTCTTGAAGTTATTTACAGAGACTCAAATCACTACTTAAGTGGCCTATGTAGTGGCCTTAGTGCCAAGATACTGACAAATGTAAGCATTTCTGTTTATGACAAAGAGTAGTTTGTCAGTCAGTGTGTTTCTGTTGTCTGTCAATCAGATAGCCACTAAATGGACTTTCTAGTGAAGACTATGACAACACTGTGACAACACTGAATGCAGTTAAGTCTTCCCATAGAGAAGCATTTTAATGAGGAGACCTATTGATTAAGCATGACGATTACTGCAGATGCACAGTAAGTCCTCAATTCTTCTCTATGGAGAAGCACTTGATTGGCTGAGATTATCCAACCAGATGATCTCAGAAGACAGATATGCACTTCCTGTGGTAAGACCAAGGTGCCACTGCATGAGAGGTGAGCTTTATTATTTAACTTTTTATGGGGGGAGGGGGAGAGGGGGTGGAGAAAGGAGACAACAATCTAATATTCACTAGGAAAACTCTAGTATTGTAAATACAAATACATATTTATAACACTAGAGTTTTACTTTAATGAAAATAATAATTTTACTTCAAGCGTCATAAGCTAGTGGGAGTTATGGCTCTTAGAATTAATGGTGCATACTCATAACTTAGTGTCCTAAATAAATTACACGCTGGCTACTGAATTCTTATGCATGGCTCTTCATTTCTAGAACATTTCTAAGCTTTCCTGTACACAGACTCGTAAATTGTGAGGCTCTGTTGCTGGGTCACAGGCTACCAAACACAGTCCCTTTTATTTTATGGGCTGTTGAAATCTTCACCTTTGACCACATGATATTTTAGACTGCTTTTCTGTACCTCCATGATCATCAGAAAAAGGGATTGTACTCCTCTTCAAATTTTGAAAAGGACTCAGAAATATTACTTTACTTTCCAGTTTGATTAAACCATTTAAAATAACAGTCATGTTGAAGGGTAATGTAGTTAAGATATAAAACTTTTCGAGTTGAAATACAGTTCTCTTGTTTCCCCTTGGTCCTGGGAGAACCAGTGGCTTGACAGTGGATTGGCTTTGTAACAAATAGCCAGGCTCCTCGGCGCCATGTACTTTTTTTGGATAGGATGCAGCCACAGAGAGATCATTGCAAATTAAATCTGGACTGTGTGCCAATGTAAGCAAGAAGATAAACTTAGTGTAGTAGGGAGTCTCAGTAACGTCAATGGGTGATACATGTTAAACAGCACAACTGATTGACCAAAAGAGAACATTCTGAAATTAGAATTTAGATGTAATAAGCTAAACTTCTAACCTATAATTTTTGTTGGAAAAAAAAAATATATATTAATATAAATTTATATATATATACAAAATAAGATAGCACTCTAAGGATGTTGTAGTACAAAATAAAACTTAGCTTTTATTGCTCACATTAAAAATCTCAACGTTTCAGCTTGTCTGTCAAACTTTCATCAGGATTTTTTATATATAATACAAACTGAAGTGTCAGCGCTTAGTAGATATACCGATAGATAAAAAAAAATTCTAGGTTATCACAAATGGACAAATTCGAGTTCCAATGAATAGTTATTTGAAGGGTGTCAGCATAGACGATAAAACGATCGCGCTGTATGGGAGATCCAATATTGCTTGAACAGTATCCACCTCCGTGTAACTTCAAGGTTATATTGTATCCATCTTAAATTACAATAAATGGCAACATAGTGTAATACTTTTAGTTTATTTATAACATCCCCAATTCCCCTTCTAGGAACTCTTACAAGACACCCTTTAAATAACTATTCATAGGAACTCGAATTTGTCCATTTGTGGTACCCTTGAATATACTTTTTATCTAGGGGTATATTTACTAAGCACTGTTTGTATTTTGTATGTAAAAATTGGAAAGGTTTCTTTTATGCATTTTAGCTGCTTACACCTGTATATAATTCTTATTGATTACTTTTACGTATTTCTATTGCGCTCTCTTAGTGTTTTTCCTTTTGTAGGATTATATATATTGTGATCCTTGTCAGCAGGTAGCATGGTCCTCTAGGGCAAAAATATGCACAGTCCTTGTAATTCATATACTCCAGGCACTTTATTTGTAAGTTCACACAGGATACAGCAGTAAAATGAAAACATAAATGTAACAGAAAACCCTATAAACAAAAACCTAGCTCGTCTGAGCACTAACTGACATAAGTTTCCCTATCTCTCAGGGTTACACTAAACAATATTGCACCAACCTTTTAGATAGCAACACTCTGCTATCTAACCTGTTGCTTTCCTTTCTGCACTCCCAGTGCTCCAAGCCAGCTTTGCCCTGACTGCTTTCCTTTCTGCACTCCCAGTGCTCCAAGCCAGCCTTGCCCTGACTGCTTTCCTTTCCGCACTCCCAGTGCCTAGTCTCTTTGACTCTATCTGGAGAGATCAGCCTCTCTCCTACCTGCTTCCTGGGAGGAAGCCAGCAATCCCTCTGCTTTACCTGTCTAGCAGGGAGGAGTTTATTCCCACTGCAACAGCTTATTAACTGCAGCTGAGCAGTGGGTTGGAGACGATCCAAAAAACCCTGGCCTGGATCCATGTCTCCCCAGAAAACCACTAAACTGTGGAGTGGAGCATTGGCCCACCCTTCTCTCCAAATGCTCCACCCCAGGGGCCCATAACTAAACAATGCGTTGTGTTGTGCAAAACACAAACTACACATACTCCCCCTGGGGTTAAAAGGCCTATCTGCCTTCACTTTATCACATATCCTCCCCCCCAGCTCAGACCCATCGGGTCGAGCGACCTTAGAACACAAACCACGAATGTTCACGTCACCTGGGGCTGTACCAGCCCTGACTTGCTCCTCAGTTACAGAAAGTGGCCTATTGTAGATGGCTGCTACCTTGCTCCCTTGTAGTTTAAGGAACCCCCACCCAAGCGGACAACCCAAATAGTTAGCTGCCTCAAATCCTAGATAACACTTAGTGTTAGCGGTCAGACCGACAGCCCTTACATTATTCACAACTAACTGGACCTTCATCAGGTGTGCTTCCAAGTCCACCCTGTGAATCGCCACATCACCAAGGTAGGCAGCGGCATTCTCTCCGTGGGGCCAAAGTATCTTATTCATATGCTGAAAGGGGGCTGGTGCACTATGCCACCTGAATGGCAGTACTTTATGTTGCCATAACCCCTTGGGAGTAGAAAACGCTGTCCTTCCCTTTGCTGTCTCTGTCAGGGGAACCTGCCAATACCTTATGACCAGGTCCAAGGTACTCAGAAACCTGGCCTTACCTATACGCTCTTGTGTTTGAGCTACATGTACTACAGGGCATTTAACTTTTACTACCTCTGTGGCAAACTCTACCTCTGCCATGGGGTATGTGTGGGTGTCACCATGTGTACCCACAATATCAAACACTTGTCTTAAATCACATTTTTCTGGCTGGAGCAGAACACTTTTCAAAGTAACCTCACTCCTTGAATCTATCAATGTTTGTGCACTCTTCTCTACCACCATCACCACTTTTAGCTGTGCTGTAACACCACCACCAGTCACCATACACATCTTTAAGCAAGGCAATACTATCCTATGCAGAGCCCTTATTCCTATGTCACATTGTATTGGCTCTTCAGTCTCAGGACAGTTATATGCAATATGTCCTTGCATGTGGTAGTTGAAGCATCGAGGTTTTTCTCAGTCTGGTCTCGTAGCCATAATGGGACTTTTGGGTACGTTCTGCCAGCATAGTTATATTGTCCCAGGCTCAGTATCAGGTTTGATAGTCTCTCAATGTCCGAGTTACTTTCAAATGCAAACTTTACAAAGGCTTTGCGTGTAATTAACTTTTCTATATCACTTATACATCCAATTCCTTCATGAGCTAAATTTTCTGGGTGCTCAAACTCTTCAAGACCTGGTTCTGTCACCAGCTCATCCATCATCAGTTCTGCGAATTCCTGGGAGCCTTCATTGCTCCCTACGGCTAATGCTACAGGTCTCATCTCTATATCCTCAGGGGGTTGGCCAAGGAGGCTGTCTAGAGCACCCTCCTCCTGCATGAATGCAGCCCTTGATCCCAGCTCCATCCTATCATGCTCGGCCTGGCTTGGCATGGAGCGCTGTTCTACCTGAGGCCCAGACTCCTGGCTTAGTTCATCTCTCCTTTGCCTGGTTTCCTCCCCAGGGGTATCTTCCACTTGCTCGGCCTTGAGTGGCCACCTCTCAGTGTCAGAAATGCTTTCCTCTGGGCTGTCTGGCAGTCTCCCTGTTCCCTTGGGGGTGTCCAGAGACGCAGTCATGGCCTCTCGCTGGATCATGACAGCCCCGGTATCAAACAGCCGGTCAGGCAGTCCGAGTCCCGCCTTTAATTCCACGACTGTGTTCCCAGAGTCTGGCAGCTGTTCCAGGTAGTTAGTGCGCCCAGGCCTTGTAGCAGTAGTCTTTGCCAGTTCTATGGCTCCCAAACAATCCTTCAAAGTCTTTGTAGCAATACCAGACGTGTTTGAAATATTTAATTCAGCTGCGCCAATGTCACCTGCTTTGTAACTTTCGCCTTGGTCGGGCTTAGGTGCGGACGTGCCCATCTTATCACCACAGCTTGGTTCTGTAACTGTCGCTCTCTCTTGGCTTAGATCAGAAGCAGCTACTTTGCCTTTCTTTTCTCTGCCAAACTGTTCAACAGCTGGTCGACATCTTGGGTAGCCTCGGCTACTAAACAGTGCACCGCATTGCTATACTCAGCTGGGGTGCTTTGCTTCTCTCCATTAAGCTCAGCTCTTTTGCAGTTGTCTTCTCTGACTCCCCAAGTCAGTCTGCTTTTCATGCCTTTAACTTGTTCACTTGGGTGTACATCAGGGGCTCCTGCTTCGTTTTCTTTTATATGTGATCCCCCTGGAATTGCATCTATTCTCTTCTCTTCACCAGTCCTTCTGGGCGCTTCACTTAGAAAATCTAGAACTCTTGTTTCCACTATAAAATCTGGGTTCCACAATAACTGGTCATCATTTTCATACACTCTTTCAGTTTCCTTGTACTTGCAGATGCCAACTGGAATCTCTGCCTGGAACATGGAACCAACCATTATTTCATTTTGCCAGTCTTCTGAAGGAACATAATCCTCATCATCCTCTGATTCTTCTTCTATTTCATTATTTGCATCAAAATACTTGCACCTCCGTGGCCTGATTGCCTCTTGTACATCCCGACATGTAGCAGATGGCACTGTGTCATCGTTACATGATTGAGTCTCATCTTTGTTTTCCACACTGCAGGCACTGTTCCGGTCATTCTCCTTTTCTTCTTTCATTACCTTGGGAAGATTTATCAGTACCTTTCTGTTTTCAAATGTCTTTCCAGCATTCTCTTGAAACATGCAAGATGCAGTTTCTGAGCGTGAAAATATTTTTGTTTCCAACTCTTTTCCCAGGATCGCTTTATCTGTTGTGATGCCACTTAGAGCAAGTTTGAGGCTTTCACGTGAAGCTGCAACATTTTGGTTCTCAAATAAACACTTGTCAACTTCAGTAATCAGTATGCCTCGCGCTCCTTTCTTACTTTGGTGCATGTCATCAGTGTCACCTTCTTCCACATTAGCACTACTTTCAGGCTCAATTGTATCTTTCTTGCCTTCTATTTCTTGTTCTCTCTCTTCTGTGTGTTTCTCAACATCAAGCTTTGCTGCCTCCATGCTTTTCAGCTTGCTAAAGACTTCTTCTACTGCCTCTGTCATCTTATGCAGGATGTCAGTAGCTTGGTTACGGGGTCCCTTGTCCCCACACACCCTGCTGGAGGCAATCTGCAAAACATCAGTAAGGGCAGCTCTATACTCCTGCTGAGCGTCCCTCAGGTTCTTAATCTGTGCAGCCAGGAAATGGTTGGTGTTTTGTTGTATAGCAGTTGCCTCTTGTTGTACAGCAGTTGCCTGTACCAGAGCCTTCAGCAGGTCCTCCATTATAGCACCAAGCAGGTAATAGTCTTAAAGGTACAGTGCTACTATTTTTTTTTTTTTTTTTTTTTTTTAAACAGGTCTGCAAAAATAAAAAGTCCTCAAGCAGACTACTGAATGACTGGCACACCCACAGACCCTCAATTTGCTACTATGCCCGCATTCTCCACCATATTGTGATCCTTGTCAGCAGGTAGCACGGTCCTCTAGGGCAAAAACATGCACAGTCCTTGTAATTCATATACTCCAGGCACTTTATTTGTAAGTTCACACAGGATACAGCAGTAAAATGAAAACATAAATGTAACAGAAAACCCTATAAACAAAAACCTAGCTCGTCTGAGCACTAACTGACATAAGTTTCCCTATCTCTCAGGGTTACACTAAACAATATTGCACCAACCTTTTAGATAGCAACACTCTGCTATCTAACCTGTTGCTTTCCTTTCTCTGCCCACTGTGCTCCAGTGCTCCAAGCCAGCTTTGCCCTGACTGCTTTCCTTTCTGCACTCCCAGTGCTCCAAGCCAGCCTTGCCCTGACTGCTTTCCTTTCCGCACTCCCAGTGCCTAGTCTCTTTGACTCTATCTGGAGAGATCAGCCTCTCTCCTACCTGCTTCCTGGGAGGAAGCCAGCAATCCCTCTGCTTTACCTGTCTAGCAGGGAGGAGTTTATTCCCACTGCAACAGCTTATTAACTGCAGCTGAGCAGTGGGTTGGAGACGATCCAAAAAACCCTGGCCTGGATCCATGTCTCCCCAGAAAACCACTAAACTGTGGAGTGGAGCATTGGCCCACCATTCTCTCCAAATGCTCCACCCCAGGGGCCCATAACTAAACAATGCGTTGTGTTGTGCAAAACACAAACTACACATACTCCCCCTGGGGTTAAAAGGCCTATCTGCCTTCACTTTATCACAATATATATATATTGCATCTAAACTTTATCCAAAACTAGGTACCCTGTACAGAAACAAATCCGGCCTAAGCCCTACAGTAAAGATTGTACAGCAAATGCTGATGCCAATCATTGATTATGGGGATGTAGTATATGCATCTGCATCGCAATCCCACATTAATAAACTCAACACATTGTATAACTCGTTCTGCCGATTTGTGCTACAATGTAATTACAGGACCCACCGTTGTGACATGCTAAAACAACTAAACTGGCTGTCGCTGGAATCCAGACGCACCCTTCCTCTTTCCAGCCTTGTGTTTAAGAGATTTTCTGGGAAACTCCCGCCCTACCGGCTGTTCCTACCTCCTATACACTCCATTCCAGTACCAACACTTTATTTAGTCTACCTCAATACAAAAAGAAAGCAGCCCGATCCTCCTTCTCCTACAGAGCACCGCAATTGTGGAACGACCTCCAGCACAATTTAAAATCTTCCCCAAGCCTAAAGTCCTTTAAGAGATCCCTCTCTACATACCTCAAAACAGAATGCGCCTGTCATGGTTGATTATATATATCCTACCTGTTCTAAGTTAAATTTTGTATATATTGTGTATTAATATTGTTTTTGTATTTTATTATACCCTAATGTAACAATGCAATGTTTTGTAGACCCAGGACATACTTTAAAATGAAAGAAATCTCAATGTATCTTTCCTGGTAACATATTTTATAAATAAATAAATAATATATTTCATAACAATTCATGTTAACTTTAAAACCCTTTAAATATTTATAAACTTTTAACTTAAGTAAAATAGTGATAATGTAACTATCCAACTTAAGTAAAATAGTGATAGGGATTTAATAAGAGTACTTTATGATACTGTATAAGTCATTTACAGCACCAATACCCCTTTTTTTGACAGGTTCTATTCAATGTTTAAATAGGTTTAAATAGTGTCCTACAATTAGCCACGTGTCAGGGAGGGATGCAAAACCAGGCGTTTTTGGCAAGTGCTCTCATATTATACATACAACAGAAAGGTTGCATTGACCAGCAAAAAATATGCTGGTGGTAAACTCTAAATACAACATGGGATATTCATTTTCAAAGAATGGTCAAAATGGTCAAAAATAGGATACATTGGTGTTGTGGCAGGCTTATGCAATGTATGATCATATACTGTAACTCTGTGGTCATAGGTGCCTCCTCCTCCTCATGACCCAATTCCAGTTGTGATACCAGTTTTGCCTTGACTCAAATGTTGTGTAACTAGATGTTTTGTTGTTATTTTAGATGGTGGTCTTTTACTCATTCATAATTCCCACCTATGTTTCATGTAGCACCTCTCATTGTTATTATTATTTATATAGCGCCAACAAATTCTGCAAAAAGTAGGTTACAAGAATAGTATCCACTGAGGGATTAGTGGTACTTTTTTTTTAGATGACAGATGCTGGAAAGGAATCAAGGTGCAGAGAGGGAAACTATTAACAGTTTTATTGATATGCATTTCGTAAGACATGAGTTTACATTGTATTTTTTGAAGGAATGGAGATTGGGTGAAAGTCTAATGGAGAAGGGAAGGGAGTTCCACAGGAACGGTGCAGCCCTAGCGAAGTCTTGGAGGTGAGCATCAGAGGTTGAAGTACGAACAGAGGATAGATGTAGTTCTTCTGCAGAGCGTAGGTGCCTAGGTGGGACATACTTGTGTATTAGGGAGGATAAGTAGGTTGGAGCAGCATTATGTAGAGATTTGTGGGAAAGTATCAGAATTTTAAATTGAGCCCTATATGAAAAACCAGTGAAGGGACTGACAGAGGATTGAGGCGTGGGAGAAGGATGAGCCTCGCTGCATTCATTATAGACTGTTAACAGGGTAAGTTGGCAATTCAAAAGGTATTGAAGGGGCAATTCCTAAAGGAGTGGGTTTAAATAGGTGGACAGTGTGAACTTCAAAGGATGGAAATGAAAAGGCAGGGAAGATTGGTTGAAATGTATATTGAAGTCTGCAAGTGTGGGAGAATTGTAGCCCACTGAAACATAATTAAGCAGGAGTAGTGCTATCAGAGGGGGTCAACCAGGTCTCAGTGAATGCTAATAGTATAAAAGAATTTGAGATGATGTGGTCATGTATGGTTGTCGATTTCAGATTACTGCAGATGGAGAGCGTGTTCAAAAATGTACATTGAATGTTGGCAGATGAGGATAAATGGCAGGGTATTGGGATGAGGTTTGTTTAGTTTCTGGTTGCCTTAACATGAACAGAGGAGGTGGGGCCCTGATTTTCGAAAGACATCACCAACTGCTAGAAGCAGGAAGAGAGATAGTGACAGGAGGTGTGAATGGGTTTTGTATGGTTCTAGTCTAGGATGACATTGTTTGTAAGTAGGAGAGAGAGAGTAAAGAAAAGAGTGCATGGCATGAGATGAGAGAAAGGGAGTGTAACAGGGAGGGGGAAATGTGGAGGTTGTTGGTGGGTTGAGGGAAGTGTGTGTGAGGAGAGATTTTGATACTGAGGGAGAAGAGGGAAAAGAAGAGGAGGAGAAGAAAGAGCATTGCTCAGATGAGTGTGCACTTTCAGAAAAAACTTGGAGATGGGGAGTAGGTCAGGAGAGGCAATTGAGCAGATGATGTGGCGTAGAAAGCATGGGAAAGTATGCTGGAATGGATTGGGCGTTAGGGGTTAAGAAAGTGTTGGTGTGTGCTAATTAAAGGTAGTGTTTGCAACTGCCATTTCTGATTATGTAAATTTGTGTGAGATTCTATCTCTAAATGGAATGATGAGCTTGCGGTGTGTGTGTAACTGAGTACCTTACAGTTGTGAAGTTGGATACTTCCTCTGCCTCGCAGAAACCATTTTCTTTTTTCATCACAGACCCATTACAATGTTCCAATTCAAAATTTAGAAAAAACTAATTATCTGTACAGCCTCGCTGTACACCACAATATATCTCCCACAAATACTCTGCTATCCCACCTGCAAAGATGTGGGATTCCCCTCACCAACCCATAGATAGATTTGCATGGCAGGGGACAAATTTTGCCCCCATAGCATTTCCACACCTCTGCAGGTAAAAGGCTGAGTCAAAGGAGAAATAGTTGTTGGTCAATAAATACTCTGTAGCTTTCAAAATAAAGCCAATCAGTTGTTCCCTGTAGTCACTATTTCTTTTAGAGGATTTTTTAAAGGAACACTAATTGGTCAGGAACATAAACATGTATTCCTGGCCCTACAGTGTTAAAACCACCATCTAGACCCCCACTTGCCTCCCTAAATATAGTAAAATCTTACTTTTATTTAAGTCTGCAGCTGCTGGCTCTGCCCCGGTCTGCCTCCTGTCTACTGATCATCAGAAGTGGTGGTCTGAGCCAATCATAGATTAGGGACAGAGCCAACACAAGTCAAACACAGTCCAATCAGCATCTCCTGATAGAGATGAATTGAATCAATGCATTTCTATGAGCAAAGTTCAGTGTCTGTATGCAGAGGGTGGAGACACTGAATGGCGGTGCTGCTCACTGTGCAGCCCTGCCCTAGAAAGCACCTCTAGCAGCCATCTGAGGAGTGACCATTGGCGTTATCACTAAGCTGTAATGTAAACACTACATTTTCTCTGAAAAGACAGTGTTTACTATAGAAAGCATGAAGGGAATGATTATACTCACCAGGACAAATACAATCATCTCTAGTTGTTCTGGTGACTATAGTGTCCACATCCAATGGCAACCATTTAAAGATATCCACCCTAAGAAAATGATTAAACCTAGATATGACATATCCTAAGTACCTAAGATAGGACCTCGATATCTTGACTAGTGGTTGTAAAAAAAACATTAAAGGACCACTATAGGCACCCAGACCACTTCAGCTCAATGAAGTGGTCTGGGTGCCAGGTCCATCTAGCATTAACCCTGCCTGTTGTAAACATAGCAGTTTCAGAGAAACTGCTATGTTTACATTAGGGTTAATCCAGCCTCTAGTGGCTGTGTCACTGACAGCCGCTAGAGGCGCTTCCGTGCTTCTAACTGTGATTTTCACAGTGAGAAGACGCCAGCGTCCATAGGAAAGCATTAAGAATGCTTTCCTATGGACTGACTGAATACACGCGCGGTTCTTGCCGCGCATGCGCATTCAGCCGATGTCGTCCGAAGGAGGAGGAGAGTCCCCAGCGCTGAGGGAGCCTGGCACTGGAGAAAGGTAAGATTTTTAACCCCTTTCACTCCTTAGAGCCCGGCGGGAAGGTGGACATGAGGGTGGGGACCTATTAATATTATAGTGCCAGGAAAACAAGTTTGTTTTCCTGGCACTATAGTGGTCATTTGACCTCTTAAGGACCAAACTTCTGCAATAAAAGGGAATCATGACATGTCACACATGTCATGTGTCCTTAAAGGGTTAAGCAATTCTGACAGATGTTCCCTTCTCATCCAGAGCACCTGCGTTGCAAATATTTCTCAAGGATCTGTGATACAGCAGATCATTGATAAGTCTGTGATTGGACAGCCACAGAAAGTCTGTGCTGGGGAAGACGGGATGGGCTTGCAGTTAGCTGCACATACTAGATCTACAGCTATTGCAAGCTAAGATTTCATATAGCCTCAAAAAAAAAAGAAGCAGCTGTATGCAGTGCTCAAAATAAGTTCTAAATACAACCCTTTAAAGTCATTTTAATCACTGCGGTTTCTTTTATCCTTTCCTGTTAGCACATGCTACTGCTCTCTGTAGTGGTTATGGTACTTAGAGTGTGCCTTTAAGCATGATAGTTGTGCACATGTAATACCTTTTAGTGTCTTTGGCATGGCTCAACATATGTTTCAGTGGTTCAAATTTCAATGTTATGAATAAGGTAGCTCTGAACCTCATATGTCTATGGTCCAAAACATGTAAGGAATATTTCTCTTTGGATTTTGCTTTCCCCTATTTGTTTATGTACCTTGGAGAATAAACCTTTCCTTTTGGATTTGGAGCCCTTGCTTTTTCTGGCATAATTTATTTAGTTTTTTTCTTTGCAGAAGTTCTGAACCTGTCAGCCACCTGGCATTTTTTCCACACCTGTCCTTATGTTCTGGCATCTCCATCTTAATTCTTGATCCTGGGGTTCTCCAAATGTCGGTCTTGCCCTGCCCGATTGTTTAAGCAATTGTGTGCAGTTATCTTGTCAACAACCTTTTGGGGGAGAAGAGAAGATACACCAGAGCTATCTAGATAATGAAAATGTGCAGTCAATCACAATTCATGCCCTTCATTGTGCTTTTTCTAAGGCCCCCTCTGCTGGACCTGGATACCTGATGATTTGTTTGTGCAGCAAGACACTGCACCCATATCCTGCACCTCTTTTGGGGAAGGTAATTCTTCAAGGGTTATTCTGATTGTAGTTAAAATAATAAAATACAATTGTGAAAAAATTCCTAAGGAATAAATATTGGTGCTGCTATCACCTTTGTGGGCCACACAAACCACAAATTCTGATTCATTCTGATTGTAGTTGTACACATGAAGAAAACAAGCCACAACAGAAAGAAAGACACACATGTTCAACAAGTGAAAACCAAGCAAAGCTATTTGTAAGGCGGTGAAGAAATAAAGATTGGGAGTCTTTATGTCCCAGGTAGATAAAACAACCAGCTGTAGGTGTGGTCACAGTCAATAATGGGGCAGGTTTTACATTTGTAGTCTATTTTTACATGTATAAGTATCGATATCCATTTGTGAAATCCCCCTCCTTAAACTGGTCAAAGATTAATAAATGACATTGGATGTTTAGGTCATGAGTTTGATTGAGTGAAACTTTTGTGATTTCTTTAAGTATTCTTGAGTTTGGGGAGGCCAGAGTATCTCATCAATGTATACTTCCCAGATGGTAAAAGTCCACATGGATACTGCACCAGACTTCAGATGTTGATGGAAAGGAAATAAGCCCTCGAGTATAGGTCCTCATGGTAGCCTTTGCACAGGTGACAGCTATCCCACAGGGGGAAAGGTTGTTTTTGAACTGCTAGATATCAGACAGACACATGTGGCCACACGCAAAATTGAATTTAAAGATAGTGTCTTATAATGGATACAGTGAGCCTCGATCTCTTGTGAGAAGCCACATGCATATATTCTGAAATCCCCACGTGTGGTTATGTGTATTCCAAGACGGGGCAATCTGATCCGACACATTGCACATTTTCTCATTCATTAACCTATATCCAGCATTGGATGATTTGCATGCTGTGAGGTCTTGAGAATGATAAAAAGGTAACCCAGCATGGTACATATTATTTGTAGACCATTGCTGACTGACATGAATGACTCAGTATGGCTAGAACTAGATCTTGCGAAAAAGGTGATAAACAAATTATCAGAACTCAGCAAGTAAATGTAAATGTTTCTCTGTGCTTTAACACAAAGATTTTTTTATATAATAATTTTTTGTTGATTTTACTGATGACTCTAATCTTCATAGAAAAAAAACAATATAAAGCATCAAACATCTTTAGTAAGTGAATAAATATGGATTGAAATGTGCTACAGTTGTAGTTTTATTCCAATTAACCACGAAAGCGCTGCACATCAACATAAAATATTTTTTGTTGATTATTACCATTATCTGGATCTTGTGTTCAACCATCTTTTTATAAAATAATGGGCATATGTTGTGACTCTTTTTTTTTGTGTATTTCCTTTAGCGTTTTTTGTAAGATGCTATCTCTTTTTACTAAAATAAATGATAATCTTCTATAATTAAGATATAAGTAGTGCAGAGAGAGAGAGAGAGAAAAGGGAGATGATAGGTCACCTAAAATACTGTAAATATATACAATACGAGTGAAAATAGTAGTATAACTTCTCTGTACTTAGAATAAAGAGATAGATAGACAGACAGACAGATAAGGACTAATGAATGTATTTAAAAACTTGGGCAGACTAGATGGACGAAATTCTTATCTGCTGTCATATTCTATGTCTCTATAGCTATATGTATAGATAGATAGATAGACAAATAGATAGATAGATATACAGAAACATTACTCAGGACATATAAAAACATGAATAGAACAAACCCTCTAACATATAAAACTCAACTAATGGTAGCAATCCTTAAGATAGAGCAAAATCTCTAAACTATCTGTACCAGAAAATGTAAAAAAAACAAAAAAAACAACAACAAGGAGCGATCTGTCTAGGACAGCATTTCCCAATTGGTATTCGGGCGGCGAGGGAGCTGAGCAGGGGAGAGTGCTCCCTCGCCGTCTGCCTCAATTATCGCGGCTGACATTTTGTTTCCCCGAAATTTTGGCAGAACCCCATTTGTGTTCTCACAAATCTGAACGCAGTGATGCCGGAGCCGGAATATAACGTCACTCCGCCTTCCGGCATCACTAAGAGGAGCTCGAGGGAGCCGAGCAGGAAGATCACTGCTCCCTCGCTGCCCGCACTGGACGCCCCACTGGACCCCAAGGACTGCACGCCAGCCGCTCAGCCCAGCACTCCTACTGAACCCCAGGAAAATAGAGACTCAATGCCAGCACTCCCAAAAGTAAGGAGGCTGGGTGGAGTGAAATTTAAAAAAATAAATAAATTGTGTGCCAGCACTCCCAAAAGTAAGGAGGCTGGGTGGAGTGAAATTTAAAATAAATAAATAAATTGTGTGTGTGTCTGTTGAGGAGTTTGTATGTGTGTTTTTCAGTGAGTGTGTGTGTATGTGTGCTTGTCACTGAGAGTGTATGTGTGTTTGTCACTGAGTGTGAGTGTGTATGTGTTTGTCAGTGAGAATGTATGTGTGCTTGTCAGTGAGAGTGCATATGTGTTTGTTTGTATGCGTGTCTGTCAAATAATATGTGTGTTTTTCAGTGAGAGTGTATGTGTGTCTGTCAAAGAGTATGTGTTTCTGAGTGTGTGTCAGTGTGTGTATCTGTGTGTCAAGGTTTGTGTATGTGTCACACTGTGTATATGAGTGTGTGTGTGTGTGTGTGGTTGTCAGTATGTGTGTATTGGCATGTGTGTTTCAGTGTGTTTGTATGTGCCTATGTGTGAGTGCGTGTATGTCAGTGTGTGTGTCTGAGTGTTTGTCAGTGTTTGTATATGACACTGTGTGTATGTGTCAATGTGTGTATCTGAGTGTGTGTATGTACTAGTGTGTGTATCTGTGGGTGCAAGTGTGTTTATATATCACTGTCTGTATGTGAGTGTGTGTATATTTGTGAGTCAAGATGTGTGTATGTGTCACTGTGTGCACCTGAGTGTGTGTATGTGTATCTGAGTGTGTGTATCTGTGTGTCAAGGTGTGTTTCTGTATCGGTGTGCCACTATGTGCCAGTGTGTGTATCTGTGTGTCAGATAGACACACACACACACACACACACACACACACAAATACACATTGACACACAGATACACACACTGGCACATACAAACACAGGTACACACCACACACACTTTGACACATAGATACACACACCTTGACACACATATAGATACATACATACACATAGTGTGTGTATCTGTGTGGTACTATGTGCAAGTGTGTGCTTACCTGTGTCAGATTCATACACACTGACATACAGATACACACACTGGCACATAGAAAAACAGATACACACACCTTGATACACAGACACAAACCAGCACATACAAACACAGATACACACACTTTGACACACAGATACACACACCTTGACACACAGATACATAAATACACACTCACACAGATACACACTGTGTGTCAAGGTGTGTGTTTCTGTGTGTCAGTGTGTGTATCTCTGTGCCACTATGTGCCAATGTGTCTATATCTGTGTCTCAGATACACATTGACATACAGATACACACACTGGCACATACAAACACAGATACACACACCTTGACACACAGACACACCGGCAGAAGAATTGCACAATTTTTTTTTTTTTTTGGTACACTATGTCAAAGGGTTCCACAGGAAAAATTATTAGGAACCCCGGTCTAGAGGACAAGTGTCAAATATGTCCTGTATGAGTGTAGCCCACATTAATATAAAAAATGGACACATTTTGTAGTCTTCCAAGAGAACAGTATAACATAGTCCCAATCCTCTGTGTAGATGCCAGCATGTTTATATATACAGTATATATGGAAAGATAAGAGGATGGGAGTTCAACATTGCTTTTAGGGCAATATAGTAAATAAACTAATAAACAAATAAAATTAGGTAAACAGACATATAATTAGACTCTCACATTTATTAAAAAGTTGCCAACATGTCACTAGTTATAATTTAACCTGTATGGAGAAACTGTATCCTTTCTCACAGACTAATGTATGTAGCACGGATCCTGCAGCTGTGGCTGAAGATTGTATTGAGACCCTCGTGTTTGTGTTCCGTCGGATATATAAGAGCACTTTAAACCTACTGTGTATTTAAAGGGCTATGCCACCAAACGCATTTCCCTTCAATATGGGCTTTATCAGTATTGTATTCAGTTGTCCACTGAATACAAGCCGGGGCTAAGCCCCTTTACCTGAGGACCCAGTAAACAAGATTTCCATAAGGTGACCTACTGGGTATGCCTCATTTATGTGTAACACCATGTGTGTTTTAGACCTTTCCCCACTGGTGTTGATGAATAGCATAAGGGTGGGTATGGAAGCTTTTAATTTAAACAAGTCAAAGGGAAACAATAGTGCTCCCCATCCCTGCCATTTTGCAGGGTTAAAGGACCTGGCAGTATGCACCCAGACCAATTTAATGAGCTGAAGTGGTCTGGGTGCCTATAGTGTCCCTTTAAGCTATCAGTTGTTCAAATCCCCATTTCTGGCTGAAACAGGCCTGCAGCAGTTCATCTGTATTTTCCCACCTCAGGGAAATACATTAGTAGTTTAGATTAAAGATTATTCTGAGTACCTGGGTTTCTGTTCTCTCGCTTACTCCCAGTTACTTACATTGGACTTTATTCCAACAAATAGGTCACGTTTAATACGTTTGTAGTGAGCATTTAAGCAAGTTTATACGTCTAATGATGCATTTTACAAAAGAGTGCTCCTAATGGAAATACTGGCTGTATCAAGTCTGCCGTAACACCACAGTGCTGAAGATAGACAAAAAGCCAATACCGATGCTAAGACAAAGCATAGGTAATTGAGTTAACTATACATGTACATAGGCGTGCGCAAGGGGTGTGCTGGGTGTGCCTCCATGTGCCTCAAAGATCTCCCTCACCAGCCCACAGGCAGAGAGGGAGGCAGGAGCTTTGCCCCGCAGGCTAGAGTTCACTCACCACTGAACCACCAGGGATGGCTGCAGCACGGTCCCCCTCCCTACAAAAGGCAAGAAGGGAGGGGGCTATTAAATAAACGGTCCCCCGACCCCCACACAGTACACACAAACAGCACCCACACACACACATACACACACACACACAGCACCCTCACACACACAGCACCCACACACACAGCATCCTTACACATACACACACACACACTAACAGCACCCTCACACACACACAGTGCCCTCACACACACAGCACCCTCTCACACACACCGCACCCTCACACACACACAGCACCCTTACACTCACACAGCGCCTTCACACACACACAGCACCCTCTCACACACACAGCAGTGTATGTGTGTGTGTGTGTATGTATTTATATATACGCGGCGTGTGTGTTTGTGCTTTAGGGTACACACTCCTATCAAGGCATGTGGCACTGATTGCTGTTACCTGTGGATTTTAGCACATAAGTAGGCTTCTTTCAGAGAGTGGAAGGTAATGTATTGTTTGGATCTCCTTGCTTATCTAAATCAGCATATGAGACCAAGATAGCCTTGCTGTGTGTGCTGGTGTGAAGACAAAGCCTTTGTATATGTGACTATTGTTCTCTGTATATCAGCTGCTGTGAAGTAAAGGATCCTGTATGTGTCCAGTATATGGTCTATGTATGAGTTGGTCTGAAGACACAGCCTCAGTATACATGTACTATGAGTTTGTGTGTAGCAGAGCTTCGGTATATGCATTTACTACAGACATCCCAACATGCGCGTGCTCTGATTTGTCTGTCTTTGAAAGGGAGACCAATCAGGATGAATGCTGTGTCATTCTCTCACTATGTCTGTCACTCAGTTTCTCCAGAACCCAGTGTCTACCTGAAGTGGCTGACGTGGCAGGACAGAATTCATAAACTGATCTCAGGAGGGGCACTGGTAGTGGGTTGTAGTGGGGTGATAGAGGCTGTAATTGAAGAGTTAGGGGCTCTCGTGGCCTGTAGTGGGGGGTTTGAGTTGTAAATGGGGGGATTAGAAAATGTAGTGGGGATAAGAACTGGGGTAGACATTCCAACCATGTACTGCTACCATGTCTCATCCACACTCCTCCTTTCATCCATATCTCCCTCCCATGTATCTCCCCACCCCTATATCCATGTCTCCCTCCCCCTTGCATCTCGAGCTCCCCCTCCCCTGCCTCCCACCCCCCCTACTTCCTCCCATTCATGTTTCTCACCCTCCTCCTTCCTCCACAAACAGCAGATAGCTGCCTCCTTCACAGAGCCATCACTCTAGGTGAAGCTAGCACCTGCTGTGCACATCTACAAATTGGTGCCCCACTCCGTACTCTTTTAATTGTCATGGCAGGGGAGGGCGGCTCCTTGAAGTCCAGCGCGCTCCGTCAGAATGGGTGTCGGGTAGTAACGTGACACCTGGTGCTCCTATGCAGAATGGGAGGGGAAGGCGCTCCTTGTTAGTGTAGTGCGGTTCCCTTATGGAGTCGCACTGTAATATCCTGGAAATAATTTTTCTAGTGCAAGAGAGAGTTCTAAAAAAATAAAATAGATTTCAGGGACATTATGTAGACCATGCGGGCATCCTGGAGTCTCCCGCAAATGAATTGAGGCTCCCAGATGACAGTTGCGATGTCTGTCACTATATGCTTTGTGTATGAGTTGGTGTGAAGCCACAGCCCGTGTACGTGTCCATTATATGCATTTTGTATGAGTGCGGCTGTGCACCGGCCCTGAAGTTATGTCAGCCCACCAGTCCAGCCCTGTGCATCAGGCAGCTGGACCCGGTCGCAGGTGGTAATTTTGCCACTGACCAGAGTATTGCCAGGTACCATCTCATTGATTAAGACAATGAATGTGTTGTGTAGTGGATGTAGTATGCAGTAAGTATTATTTTTTTCATTTATTTTAATGTAATTTTACTCCCCCTACCATGCCTCTTACCTGTGGCCAGGGAGGGGGGGACAATACATTCCCTTGTGACCCGGTGCCATTGTGCAGGCTGCCAGGTGCTGTATAGTGAAGAGGAGTCCAGCCAACGCCATCTTCAGCTTCCCCAATTTTCGCAAGCCCAGTGTGTGTGCTATGTCGCGCATAGCCATGGTAACTTGCGGCAATGCTCTGATAGACAGGGGCTTGTGAAAGTTGGAGAGAGGAGCTGCCGGAAACTGAAGATGGCATGCAGCTGGGATCCTGCATTATATATTGATAATCTATATATATATATATATATATATATATATATATATATATAAGCACATTGGGAATATGGTGCACGCATCTCTCCGTGCCTCCCTGAGCAATTCAGGTCTCCAAAGACCACCAGGCCCATGACAATCGCCATGCCCTGATGGTGGCCCTAATGTTTGGTCCAGAATAAGGAAAATTGTTTATACTTACCATAATTTTCTTTTCCTGATTATTATACATTATGTGCTCACCCATCTACTTTGAGAGTTGTGAGAGTTATGTACAATGACTACTAGGTGGGAAGGGGGTGGATCTATTTATACCAGAGTTTTATTTCCTGTCCTCATTGCTCTGATGGGAGGAGCTAACCCATAAGTAAATTCTGCCATGTATAATGATCAGGAAAAGAAAATTACGGTAAGTATGAAACAATTTTCCTTAGTCACAATTCACTTTGCGGTTTACATGTATTGTTTCATAATTTAAAATTACTGAAAATATGTTCATAATTGACATTAAATTTAGATTTAATTTCAAAGATGCTTTTTTCCCCTTTTACCAAGAACAATGGTGCAGTTGTAGCCAAATAAACAATATGTACATTTATTACAATTTGGTGTGATTAAAGAACATTTGCTCAGTGGTTCAGCAGTAGTTAGAATTTTATAGTTTAATATGTGATAAATATTCTCTCTTTGCCAAAGGATTATAAGCATGAATTGAATGCAGTGTGTGCAAAACGACATGAATCTCTGCCACAGGAATATGGGTTTTTGAATTACGTCTTTGTAAAATACATTAGCAGCATAATTCTATTCCAAGAGCCACTTTCAGAATGGTGTTTCTTCCAAGCGAATAAATAATATGAAATAAACAGTTAGACTTGCTTCTGCACAGACCCAGCCTCCAGGATTCGGAGCATAAATTAAACATGATCTAATGGTATTGTCTCTTAACCCATTAAACTGGCCTGCTATGGTAATTTGCTGGACACAGCACTTACATAGCATTTAATGCATGGCACAATCTATGTGCCTACAAAATGCCAACATATATTATTCTAAACACAAAATGGAATTTTAAGCCTTTAGCTAAGAAGAACATTGTGATAAAGATGCAGTTTACAAAAACAAAAAATAATAGCAAGAATTATTCCCCTTACTTCAGTTAGGCAAATCCCATGGGTCATTAAACAGTGCTTGTCTATCTCTTTCACGGTTCTTTTAAATGTGTCAAAGTCCCTTTAAAAGAAGCATCAGTTTGAATGAAATAGTGACACTTATATTGAGGAGAATGATTTCCGCCACCATAATATGCGGCGGGATCCTGCCTAGTCTTTCAGATGCTCAGTGGTATTCAAGCCTCTAAAGTTCAATTGTTTCAGTTCAATATATCCTACACTCAGTAATGTGGCTGCAAGCCGACACTGCATTTAATGAATTCCTCTCTGACAACAGGTCCTCACTTTCTTTCTAATCCACATTTACCTATGTAGCACCTACTTTAAGACATTAAGACAGATGGGACAAATAAGACATTAACACAGATGTGCTTGAAACACACGATCAAGCAATGAGATAAGCTGTTTTTAGTACAGGATGTTTTTTTTGCCCGTGCTTGACATTAACAAGTGATCAAACATGCACGTGTAACATTCATTTTTATAAATGCTTACATTCTATTATTTGTAATAAAAGGCACCATACCTGCTAATTGCTCAATATTTTTCCGTGCTCTTTTGTAACCTCTTGCAAGATCTGTCCTGTTTGCACAAGTGAGGGTAGAATGAAGTACAGTACCAGACAAGGGGCCATGGAGAAGGATGGAGGGAGTGGGCTGAAGGAATGAAGCATAAATGCAGCTTTGTTTCTTTAGGAGTGACAATTTCTTCCTTACTGCCAGCATTGGCCGAAAATTACTGGGTATAACAGATTGCTTCAACCACGTCCAATCCCCAGGACATCTATGATCTTTTCATTTGCAGGGCCAAAAACAGTTCTCTTTTTATAAAGTCTGCAAGTAGTATATAAGAGCCAATGGCAGAATTAAAAATAAAAAACTAATAAAACTACGGTACTTTACTGAGATGAACTAAGAATCCTTATTGTGAAATATAGTAAACCCTAATAATTCTAACCTCAACATTGATTGTAACTTTAATGCTAGCTATTAGACTTGGGCATTCGTTTTTGGACAAACACATTTTCATCCAAATTTACGGCAATTCGGTCATTCACCTGAAAGACGAATACAAATTACAATCAGTGAAACGAAGAAGGAACTTCTTATTGGACAAAATTTGGTCTATGCAATTCATTGCTTAGTTCAGGCCTGGACTGGCCATCGGGCACACTGGGCAAATGCACGGTGGGCCACGATGGCCATGGGCCGAGGCCAACAGGGGAGATCAGTGTATCTCCCCTGCCAGACCATGCAGAGCCAGCGCTAGCAGAGTGCCGGCCCTGCTGTGTGCCTTCATGGGCCGGTGGGGAGACACTGGTCTACGGGCACTGAGATGCGGCTGGGGAGGGAGAGAGAGAGGACCCGTGTGAGCTCTTACCTGCAGCTCTGCTGGGTTCCTCTAGCGAGGTCAGATAATTGCAGCGGTTACTATGGCAATGCTCCGATCTCGCGAGAGTGAACTCTACCCCAGGAACTACAGGGTAGAGTTCACTCCTCACCGGACCACCAGGGATTTCCCACCGGACCACCAGGGCTATAAGGTCCCCCTCCCAGGCAAAGGTAAGAAGGGAGGGGGGACATAAATATTACAATAATAAAATTTTTTAAAAACCACATACATATTTTTTATTTTTACCCAAACATCACAATATACCCCTCACACACAAACTACACCCCAAACACCCCACTGCACCCCTCACATGCACATACTACACCCCACTGCACCTCTCACATGCACCCACTACACCCCAAACACCACACTAAACTCCAAACATCACACTACACTCCTCACATGCACACACTACACCCCAAACACCACACATCACCCCTCACATGGACACACTACACACCAAACATTACACTATACCCTGAAAATCACACTACACCCATACACCACAGAGAACCCCAAACACACACACACACTACAACCCAAACACCACACAGCACCCCTCTCACACACACACACTGCTCCCCAAACAACACAGAGCACCCTTCAAACACAGTGCACCCTTCACACACAGTGCACACACACATACAGTGCACCCTTTACACACACTGCACACCAAACACACACTGCACCCCTCACACACACACACACACACACAGTACACCCTTCAACCACACACCCTGCGCCCCTCACACACACCGTGCACCCCTCACATACACACAGTGCACCCTTCACACACACTGCACCCTTCACACACACTGCACCCCAACCACACAGCACCCCAACACACACACACACACACTGCACCCCTCACACACTGCACCGCTCAAACACACTCCCTGCACACCTCAAACACACACCCTGCACACCTCAAAACACACACCGAGCACCCTTCACACACTGTACACCCTTCACACACACATAACTATGGATCCTCTACGCACCTACACACTAGAATCCCTATACACACTCAGAATCCTCTATACACACACACACACACTAAATCTCCTATGCACACTCTGGGTTCTCCACACACACTAGATCCCCTATGCACACAATAGATCCCCTATAGGCACACAATACACCACCTACACACACTACATTAAAGACATAAACACTCTGGATCCCCTGTAAGCAAAAACACACTACTTTCTCTAAACACACACACTTTAGAACCCCTACACACACTACATAAGCTATACACACATACACAACAGCCCCTATGCACACACTCACTACATCACATATACTCACACTCTCTACAGTCCCTAGCCTAGCCTGTTGTTTCATATTGTACAGACAAGCCTAGCCTGTATAATATGCTTTCCTTGCACTATTGTCCTCTGGTATCTCACTTATGGAGACACTGCAGAAATGTCACAAGCAAACACAGCACAAGCATGTTAATAGAACAAATACAGGGCCTTTTTTTCATGCAAGAGCTCTACAGCAGGACTCTGCACATTGAACTAATATGCTCACTTTGAGAGGGGGCCTGCTTGCCATTGGGACGCTGTGATTAAAAAATGCCCGGACCAAATTTTTTCCCAAGTCCGGCCCTGGCTTAGTTTTTTACAAGGACGGAGCTTGCAGCTCGTGGCTCCCTCCTTGTAATATTTCATTATAAAGGCGATTTATAGCTGTCTCCTGCTGATTTCTAACTCCCCTCCCATGTTCCTACTCGCCCTTGGCCTATTGTCGTCAATATGTCCTCCAAATTAGTATAAGGGAGGTAAAAGCCACCCTCCTGTCTCTACTTGCCATGCCACATAGGGGCATGTCTACTAAACAGCGAGCATCCAGTGGCTGCTTGCTGTGATAAAAGAAAGACTAGTGACTTGGCTGCTATTGCTTCCTAGTCGCTAATCCTATAAAGGGGGACCTGGCACTGTCCCCCTCATGCCCAGCAAGTGGGGGCCTTTAAAATAAATGGGAGACCTAGTGTCCCCTTCTAGCCCCCACTCTTAGCAACAGATGGGCACTAATAAATAAAATGAATAACGGAACATAGCCGCTCATGTGCATTAGGTTCCCAGATCATACTGATGTTGGTGGAGGAGGAGCCTGATCCATCAGAAACGGCCATAGTGTCACGTATTCATCCGCATATAAAAATGTGATTAATGACATTTACTGTTCTAACAGGAAAAGTTGTGCCGAGCAACATTAATGTCCTGACAGGAAAAGTTGTGCCGAGCAGCAATCAAATCCACAGTAGGGTTTGTGCTGAGCAGCAATTATGACAATGGGAACCTGGTAACTGCCTTTGGGGTCAAAGGCCGATTTAAGCCTATCAGATCCAGAGGAGGGGTATTTAGGCCCAGTTCTCATCCTGCTCAGTGCCCTGTCGTGGTTTCCCTAGTGGTTGTCCGAGAGCGAGTTCCTTATTCAAGTTAAATAAATCATGAGTGTAATATGTCATGTGTTGTTGTTCATCTGAAGTTGTATTTACCTAATTTTAAGACCTGCTAAGGAAGAGATGATTGTAATTATGCCCTGATAGAATTCAAAGATGGTATACTTTCTTTTTCCTATGACTGTAATGTACATTAAGGGAAGCTGGCCTTGGGGCAGCAAGGAGGGTAAATCTAGCCCTAAGTGTAGCATTCACTGTGCCGTAAACTGCCACAAACTATATTGCAATTGCAAAGCTTACATAATAAAAAAAAAAAATAATAATAATATAGGAATCTAAATCAGTGAATCAAACTTGAGGTGACACTGGCAGTGTGTAAGCACAGCAGTAACCTAATAACCATCAATGATACAGACTATCTCACACTCAAAGTTGGTATAAGTGTGCTACTGTTAGTAATTGACCAAGCACATCAGTAACCTAACCATCACACTAGTCTCACACTAGGGTCAATTACATAGGTTGTCTATATCACACTCAAAGCTGGTGTTAATGGCACTGACAGTATCTAGGCACAGCAGTACCCTAACCAGTCTCACAATACAATCAGTTAAACAATTGAACAGACTATCTCCCACTCAATGTGGTGTATGTGACACTAACAGTGTGGCTAGGGACAGAAATAACCGGTCTCGCACTAATGAACCAGCTTAACTATCACACTCCAATGGATTTTAAGTGACACTGAAGGTAACCTAACCAGTCTAACACCAGGATCAATTACACAGGGTTTCTACTACTCCCACACAGGCAGAGCAAGCTTAAAGCTAGACAATCCATGTCTTCTGATCTGTGCCCCTCAATAGCTAAAGTCAAAGTGTCTAGAAGAATCTTGCTGAGAAATATAGTTTTTTTTCCACCTTTTGATTGAACAGGAAAGACAGTCCATATAATTGGGCAGACCTCTTGTCCATCATGGCAAACTAAGATTCTTATTTGCTCCCCTGCTCTCCCTAACATTAAAAAGTTAGTTTCTTCTCCATTCCAAAGAAAAAAGTTACCTGCGCTCTTCCCAAATCCTGATGCATATTTAAATAAACAGAAGCCCACCTTCCATGTCAAGGCAAACCTCTTGTGGGTCCTACACTGCCTTTTCACCTTGCTTCCTTGAGCTTCAGGCAAAGATATCTCTAATGAGACAGAAAGGGGTATTTTTCTAACTCCTACATCCTTATTAACCCTTAATAGGGAACACATGGGGGTGGGCAGCAGCATTGTAACATGGCTGTGTAATACAAATACAAAAAACAAGTCCTACGCTCACACTCCCACTAATTCTGGGCGGCAGCAATGACCATAGTACACAGAAGCCCCAATACATACAGTAAAACAAAAACAAAAAAAGTTACCTGCACTCTTCCCAAATCCCTATGCATATTTAAATAAACTGAGGTTATTTAGTAACTCCAATGGCCATTAAATGGAAGTCCACCTGCCATGTCAAGGCAAACCTTCTTCTCCATTCTGTTTCCCATTTTTTTTATACCATGACCGTAACTCAGAATCACAAATCAGTTAAAAATGCTTGTCAGCATTGTTCATATTAGAACAAATGTGCAAGTCTATTTTTTAGTTTGCATTTCAGTGATGTGTCTTACTTTTAAAATTTTATATGGCATTCTAAAGATTAGCATATTTTGCAATAACGCAATAGTGCCAAAGCAGACCTATTTTAGGATAAATCTCAGGTTGTTCTGTTTTTATTCTGTTATGATGTGTGTGATCATGTGATCATGGAGTCACTCAAACAGAAAGCCTGATCTGTTTTGCATTAACGCAAACTGAAGTTGATGATACCGGCCAAATTCTGTTTTGACTTTTAGTTTAAAATGTTCTTAAATGTGGGTTGATTAAGGGTTTCTGGTTTCTGAACTGATGGAGATGGACCAACCCAGCAGGGCATCCTCCAACTCA